CGTACGTACGTATGTATGTACATGCATGTATCGACATGTTTTGACCGAGCATCAACAGGTTTTGTGATCGATACTGGCGCTTTTAATAATTCCCCGCACTTTCTCATACTGTCATGGTATCAAACGAAATTGTAAAGAGACGAATAAACCGTAGTCGCAATACTCTTCAGTACTCAAGTACTTACACACGAACAAGATTCCGATTCTTTGCTATCTATCTACGATAGATACATAGACAGATATAGAGTGTACTCGATAAAGAAACAATGCGGCTTACGAGCAAAGAATGACTGCCATTTTTCTACCTTTACTTTCTTTCCTATATTTTCTTTTTCCTTATCTTTTTTTCTTTTTCCTTTCTCTTTTCTTCTCTTTCCTCTCTCTTTTTTTTTTATCGCGGCCTCAAGACCGCGATTAGGATAGGATGGGATAGGCGTGGTCCGACTTCTTGAAATAGAACGTTCACGTTATCGTTGGTTATCAAACGATGGTGATTGATGGAGCTCCGGCTTTTATAATAATTACTCGATTATCCTCGTATCTGGTCGTAATTGTTTACCGCAATTTGGGCAACTAAATATACATGTCGATATATGTCTACCTATAAGGAGAAGATCACTCATATCGACTCATATTTCGAAATGGAAAGCAGCACCCTCTTTCTCCCCCACGGTTATTTAAAAGCGATTGGCTATTGACGCGGCGTGACGCGAAGCTCCTTAAACGGCGAGACCAACTAACGATTCTAATCAAAAATCAGCCGAAAATCGACTTGTTATTTGAGAATGTCGTATCGCTTCAATTGAATAGTGCCGATTCCTTGTAATAAGATCAAAGATCGAAGACTGACAAGAGACTTAGTTTTGTCGAGAAAAGTGCTAAAAATTAACAAGATTATTTTTCACGTGTGAAAGACGATGTTATTAGAATGTATAAAAAAGCATGCAGTTAACGAAGAAGTAATGACGAAAGAGAAGACGAAAGAGTTTGGAAGAGAATGGAAATTTTTTTTTTCTCCTTCATATCGTGGTTCATTTTTTATCAAGTAAGAGTCTACGGATGGTCTCTTGTGAAACTCGAGGGATTTACCAGATTGTTTTCCAAGTTCACCCTACATTCTATTTATATATCCTTTTTCGATCAAAACTCTGACAGCTTTCTCCTATCGTATCTCAATGGAGAAAATCTCTTTCAACTACCTCGTCTTATCTCTTTACCGTCCAATATTCCATAGTCTAGTTTTGATATTTAAATTCAAAGAGAAATTCTGTCACGCGTCGCTGCGTGAAAAGAGAAACGAAAGACAAAAGATGAATTTCCAGTAGTGACGGCACTGATCAAAAATTAACACCACGATAATTGGACGAAAAAGCAAAGAGAAAAAGAATTTCAAAGTTTCTTATCTCGTAAGCTGAGAAAAAAGAAAATGTAGAATCTCAGCAATTACAAGTGGAAGAAGTAAGGAGGAAGGAACTTGTGCCCGATGCGAAAGATCGACCGGTGGTCAAGTTGTAAAACAATTCTCTACGTCTCTTCTCTTGCATCTATCTACCATAGATACTATGTGTTAAATAAAAAAAGAAAAAGAAAAAGGAAAAATAGAAGAAAAGTTATGTCACAGAGAAGAGAGGAGAAGCTGTCGAAATTTGTAATTGTATTCTAGATCGTTTACATGTTTCTTCCGTATAACCACGTAGCCACGTGACCACATAACCGCGTGGAGTAACGATGCGATAATGTCAATTTTTCACTAAATAAAAATAAAAATAGGTATAAAAAAAGAAGGTATAAATAGCAAGATCTGAGTGAAAAGTGGACAAGTTTGGAAGGAATGGCTGAAAAAAGATAAAGGTTAATAGAAAGAGAAGCCAACTCGTACTGTCGATAACGAAAACAACGAGAAAAAGAAAGCAGAAAGAAAGCAGAAAGAAAACTAATGAAACTAATTGAAACAGACAGGGAAAACTTGAGGAAAATTTGATTTGATTCCGCTGTAGCGACTGTCTTGGCGAGATCTCTGGAGTAAAGTGCAAGAAACAAGTGATAAAAATAGATTGGGGGAAATGGACGAACAGCCAAACAAATAAATGAAAATGTATGAACTCTCGTTGCAATGCGAGAAATCCTTTAATAAAACTAAAAAGAAAAATGTAAATATAAATTGCTTGATTGACAATCAGCGTTCAAAATCCTCTTATTTAACGCGGCCAATTGAAATTAACGTGCATACGCGTAGTATATAATCGTACGTATATATGTGTACGTGTATATATATATATATATATATATATATATATATATATATATATATAAAACGTACCACGAACGTAGAATCACACCCTACTCGATGCATGTAGCACGTATGCAAGTGCACCTGGAGAAACGCGCTGTTGGGCAACACATGCGATTTCTCTGAAACGTCAATGATATTTAATGCGCAATGCTCAAGTGCATTACACGCAGGTTCGTGCACGCAGAAGAAGCGCACATGGAAGAGGAAGCCACAGCCTGGTCCGGGGGCTAGACTAAAATAATAAAACAATGCCTGATGTTTGGATGTAGTTCGATTACATACGTACGTTGAGGCAGAGTGGCGGTAGGAAAGTAAAGAGGGTGAGAGACCAAGGGAGCCCCGGTAAAGATATTAGGTGGCAGGTTCGAGGAAGCACGGAAACCCCATCAGCTCGAAGCTCGTAAATTTTCCTGAAAGCTGCCGAAACTCGGCTCCAGTAGGCCTACATAAGAATATACTGCAGACTGGTTGCGGCTTCAATCCGCAACTATATACTCTTTCTTCTCTATCCTAGTTCTCCACTTTCACCAACGTGACGTGGCCCCTGCCAACGATCCTTGGTCTTTTTCCGTTTCTTTGGTTGATTCACGAGGTTGACTGACGAGACTCGATCAAAGACGAGCAGACGGTAACGTCGCGACGCGTCGAGTTGAGTCGAGTCGAGTCGAGTCGAGTCGAGTCGACCGATGAACTATAACTGCAGGAACCGAAAGAAATCTCTTGCGTCGAAGAAACAAAGCGTGGAACCTTTCGTCCAATGAGACGAATCACGCTCGATCAAAGGTCATGCTCGCGTCACTCTCTTGCCTTGCATATCAATCCGTACAATTATACTCTATCGTCCTCTTCTATCGTCCGTTGTCTCTTCCCTTTCATTGTCTTTCTTTTTCTCTTTCTTTCGTTCATCGAAAATTCGTGAAAAACTTGCCTACCCACCCCGTGGAAAAGAATTCCTTCCGGATGTTCCTAAGAATTTCCTATAGAAATTTTTCCAGGTGTTGCGAATTGAGAAAAGAGCTCGTTTCGAACAATGTACCCTTCCATCGTTCTCGTTTGTCGTTTCGTTATCACGCAACGATCAATTCTCATTAGCTTTCGAGTACAATGCCCAATTTTTTTCAGCCCTAGCCTTATTCTAGCAAAACGGAAGAGGCAGTTTTGACAGGCAGGTTTAGATAGTTTAGCACAACTATAGAAAATACCGTGGCTTGAATTTTTAGAGATCGAACAAGAGTGAAACAACCGTTCTGCAAACGATGGCCGTATCGGCTGTGCCCGTATTAACGACACCCGTGTGCCACACATTGATCCTTTCATTTCCCCAGTTATTTAACAACGACAAATATTTGTCTGTGATTCTTCTGTCCATTTTAGAAAGGTACTTTGGAAACGTAAAGGAATTACACCGATATACGCATACATACATATTACAGTGTTATATGTATACATATTATATATACTGCATGTACGAGTATAATACTTACAACAGTGATGAAACGTTTCTCTCTCTCTCTCTCTCTCTCTCTCTCTTTCTTCTTTTTGAAGTTTCGTCAAATAAAAGAGGCAATTTAATACCGGATTCTAGAATAAAATCACATTTCCGCGAAATGATTCTTCTCATTAGTTGAGACTTAATTGTCTAATGAGTTAATTAACTTTACTCTTCTGCGGTTAGCTACTACCACGGGATAAAATTGTTTCCGATTGTAAGATCGTAAAGCATAATATAATTGTTCGGGGGAATAATTCTGTCGTATAATCGCAATAATCTCATTACCACATATTCGAGCAGAAATATCAAAGAATCGAACTATCAATGCTTTCAATCAGAATCGAGAATTTAGAAAATATTATATCATACGTGAGTATATGACGAGCATGTCTCTAGCTGCCAACTAAAAGAGTATGTGAAATGAAACAACAGATTGGAAAACTGTAGAGTTATTTACCTATAGTAAGAGTAATGCGAAACTTAAGAGACTCGAGAAGATAAAAAATACGAAATGCCTGCGGAGAATAAGAAGAAAAAAAAAGTAAAAGCCAAAACTGAAAATCTTGGGCTACAAAACAAAACAAAACGTGAAATATCTGACTTGAGATATTTCAAATCTTAATTTAAATTTCACACAGATTGTTGCGTGCTACAATCTTTATCGTAATAAAAAGAAATTATTATTGCCTGTACGCTGTAATTTTTAGAAACAGAAACTGTACGAAAATGTACAGCGAATGTAACGTAAATCTAAATCTTTCGAGCTCGAGCAGCGGCAAAAGAAACAAAGAATTTTTCAAAAAGAAAAATGCTCTTGTGAATTTCGCAAAATTATAACGTTAACGTCAACACGTTGTTGTTAACTGGATTGAAGCTCGATTAAATATACGATACGATTAAAAGAGAAGGAATTAAAGAGAAAACTCGGTGAATAAATTATTTAGAAATTCCGGAAGAAATTCACAAAGTTGCAAGGGTACTAGGCAAACTTTTAATTAGGTACTAGGCAAACGTTAAAGGAGAACCGATTATTACGGGATATTTTTAACCTAATATTAACGTTTAATGTAATATCGTGTCAATATCGCGATAATATAATAATAATAATAATAATAATAATAATAATAATAATAATAATAATAATAATAATAATAATAATAATAATAATAATTACTGTATAACCAATTTCAGTTAACAACAATATAATAGGTACAATATAGGTACAACATAAGCAACAATTTTATTCATGTACATTGTCTTTAATATTATCCAAATTCCACATGACTCTGAATACAAATGCTACAAAATGATATAAAAGAAAACAAGATGTGGACGATACGAAAGTGTCCGTTCAAAATTTCACGAAGAAGATAGATTAAATATGTAAATTGCCAATAGAAGAAATAAAAAAGTAAACAATTCAAAGGGACAAATTATTCGAACGATTTCAATCGAGATAATAGGACCACAAATGCTCACGTTTTTTAACTAGAATCGATTATTTATAAGTTGGTCTTGAGCTAAATTTTCAAGATGAAATTTGGATAAATTTACATTGATTGACGAATAGGGTTAAGAAACGACTTTACATTCCCTTGGTATTTTCGTCATTTTCAAATATGTTCCTTTCGGTACCGGTAACATTGAATATGGGTTGATTTTGTAGGGAATTATTGTCTTGTCGCAGATGTCTATTTTGTAATTGCGGAGAATCGTGATTAGTCCGACTCTGGTCTGATAAACTGCGAAACGTCCACCTAAAAATAACGCCAATGTCAAGAGTTAATTAATATTCCTGAAAATAGTATTCGTGATTCCTCAAGGAATATTTAAGAAGTAGATCCAAGTTGAGAAACAATTTAAGAATCAAAAACAAAATATTAATAAATCCTGATATGAATTCTGTATAGTTTAACAATCTTAACAATATTGGAATTTACATAAGGTTCACTTTTGTGTCCTTTCAATCAATTTATATGATTCAAATTTCATCTTTCAACGATGGAGGAGATTCTGACACGAAAGGAAACTTTTACGATGTTTAAACAAACTGAATTCGTCATATCACGACAAATAAAATTATTGCTTCGATTAGAAATTTTCTAAATCGTGGACGAATGGAAGTAACCATATAATTTAATATACCGATGCAATTTCTTGGCCCATCGCCAAATGGCAAATAATGCATGCGATGTCGAGCAGCCACAGCATCTTCGTTGAACCTTTCGGGATCGAATTTCTTAGGATTCGGATAAATATTTGGATCGTAATGTATCCCGTACAATGGGATCCATACCATCATCCCCTTGGGTATCGAAACTTTCGTATCATTGAATGTGTAGTTCGATTGTGCTCGTCTTCTCAGGACGGATGATGCTGAATGCATTCTTAATGTTTCTATGAAGAAATAAATAATATAACACACATATATATGTACATAGAGTAGAATATATAAAATGTAAATCTATAGGGCTAAATTTATTGATCGTATAATAATATAAAAATATGCATAGCACATGCACATATATATACATTCGTATGTAATTTATATGATAGTGTATTTCCTTAGTTTTTGCTATTAAATTATCTAAATCCTACATTATGTACATTATTTATTATTATATATGCATATATAAGTCCATGCTACGTATATTAATAAATTATGTATATATTACGATCATATGTAATACAGAATACAGTATTTAGATTCGATTAATAAAAGAAGAGTAAAAAATATAATTAATTAAAGATTGGAAAGTCAACTATTAAACTAATCCTTACCTTTGAATACTTTATCTAGATATTTCATTTTCTTAATGTCGTCGAACTTCAATTCTCCGTTGTTCTTGCCACAGAACTCCTCAATTTCCTCGCGAAGTTTATCTTGTACGTCTTGATTCAGAGCTAATTCGTAAAGAGCGTTGCTTATGGCCATGGAAGGAGCTACAAAACCGGCTGCGAAAAATATGCCTAACTGCGCCGTAAGCATTGTATCTGTAAATTCTGAAAAAGAAACACGGTCGATTAACCTTAAGTTTTTATTATTAAAAATCAGTCCTAAATTTTGAAAAAAAAAAAAAAAAAAAAAAAAGAACAAGTTGCACGACTATATCATAAATTATAACTATTCTAATAATAATAATTATAAATATTCACCGATGTTTTGCAACTTGTCTGGATTCTTCTGAAGATCCATCAGCAGTTTCATGAAGTCCGGCCTGGCAATGTTGTTCTCCCTTCTGTACTTCATCGTTTCGCTCACGAGTTTCATGAAGGCCAGCACGAAATTCTGAGGTGGCAGTAACGCTAGCAGATTGTACAACATTGGCACGAATTCTTTGAGTTTCTGCTGTAGGAAGTTCCGTAGATTCACGGCGAACACTTCTCTGCTAATTTTATGAAACTCGCTGTTTTCGTTCTCCAACGCGCTTCTCTCGATACCAAAGGCGCAACTACCGATCACGTCGGTAGTGTATTTTGCTGCCAGCGCCTGGCACTCGATGATCCCTGTTCTCCCGACGTTTTCCTCCAGGTATTTCTCCAAGTATTGCGAGCACTCGACGATGAGATGGAACATCTCTCGCAGTTTCCCGGATGAAAACATCGGCGAGAGGTGGTTTCTTAGTGGTCGCCATCGTTCCTCTTCCAAGAAGAACAGATTCGCCGATAGTGGTTCCACCTGCGATAATTCAGTTCGACAAATCGTGTTACGCGATCAAAATTTGACTTGTTAGTGTATTAACTATGCAACTAAAATTTATTCCGCTGTTTTCGTTGGTTTTTCTTTTGGTTTTTCGTCTATAAAAATGGGATATTCAAAATGGTCATGAAATTAATATACCAAATTGATATAGTTATGTAGTTATCAAACACAATTAATAGGTAAAAATTATTACTTATCAAACGTAATTAACAGGTGGAAATAATTAAATTTCACAAATCACACGTAAAATTTCACCTTTTCGTTAATTATGGTTCCTCGACCTGTAAAATTAGGGAAGTCCGTGATAAGAACGTTTTTGATGAGCTTTGGATCACGCAGCAAAAGCACAGGTGATCTTCTCGAGTACAAACCAACCATCGGTTCGTTTTTATAGGCAATGTAAATTTCTCTTGTGTAATCAGCTAGTGATTTTCTCGCGAACAAGATTTCTTTGATATTGCCAATGTAGGGTAGAGGTCGTGGACCCACCACTCCACGATTTTTCCAAAAATCGAAGGTAGACGTGGCATAGTAGTAGACAGCAATGAGCAATGCCGCCACACCACACAGAATCTCGAAATAGTTCGACATCCTCGTCGATAGTTTGAAGTCAGTAACTGCAAACTATTTTAAAAATAATTTACCTTACCTAAAAATAATTTATCATATTTGCAATGATTATAGTATTATAGTAGTTATAAATGAAATATAAATTTTGTAGACAATTTAATAAAATACAGTTTTACTGATTATAGGCAATATACATTTAATGATTGATATAGGCTTCCCTCGTAGGAAAAGTCTAAAAAATAATTTATGTTATTCATATTGATTATTAAATTATACTATTATTTATTCTTGTGTTATTTTGTATACTATTTTATTTCTACGTATTTTTACGTTTCTATTGTAGAAACTCCATTATCGTTAGAATATTTCGCAGTTAGAAGATAACATTTTTGCAATGAAACGCAGTTGATAATTATTGCACTTAAACACATTGATTAACCAATAGTACAACGCCAGGAAGGCCACGGCGATCGCGCTCAATATTTGGAAGTACTCAACCATGTTGATTTGTAGCTCGGGCTTCTGTTTGACGGAGAGTTCGACCGTAGATTGCAGTTCTTTCAAAGATGTAACACGAACGTTTGTCTTACAGCTCAACATATTTCTCACAGGCCTAATTAAACTTTAATTGAAGATCTATCTAGTATCTAGAATCGCGAGGTGACTGGCAGAAGATACTTCAGTGTGAAGTTCAACATGTACATGAAGAGGTGTAGGAAATTTTATTACATTCGTCTGTTAATCCAAAATAGGAAAGGTAGTTTTATAGTTAGCTCTTGGCAGCTAATGAACGGGGATGTCGATTCGATTTTGTCATTTCAAAATCTTCATTGTTTTATTATTTTTGTTATTTCAATGTCACTAGAGAAGTAGGATTTAAAAAAAAAATTATACTACTATTATAGTATTATAGTATTATACTACTATATATATTATACTATATAGTATGTTGTAATTGAAGGCTTCTAAAAAATGTATTATAATATATTATATAATATATAATAATATTATATTATATTATAATATTATTGTATTATATGTATATTTTATATTATATGCATTGTGTATTTGCAACTCTCGGTCTTTCATAAACATGCATGATACACGAGATATCTGAAAACAGTACAAACCTGTTTTGTAGAATTCTGTATATTTAAAAGAAAAATCAGAGTATAAAGCACTGTAAATTGTTTTATGTATCATATTTTATAGGAAACACTACATGCTTTGAATATTTTGTACATTTTTTCTTCTAATGTATTTCTATTCAATTTTGCACTTAAAATTTTCGCGTAAATGCATACATGCTTCACAGTTTAGCGATAACTATTTATTGTCTTACAAACATTGTTAATGTTATGTGTCGAACACAGTATCATATTATATTAAAAAGAAATCGAGGAAGTTTGAAAATACATTATATAATAGAAAAAAAATCGTTATATAATAGAAAACGTTTATATAATAGAAAAAAAAAAACGTTAATATTCTTTTTCTACGATTTTTCTTTATTCTGAACTTTGCGTTCTTTTTTCAAGTATTTTTTGAGTTTCATTTATACAGAGTCACGGTCTTTCGTCAAAAATTTTAGGTATGAAAATCATTCAGATATGAACATCTTTATCAGGCTACTTTCAGCTTAACGAATCATTTCTTTGAAAAAAAAAAAGATAATGGCAGTAAATATTAATAGTATAGAAATTTGCCTGCATAAATATAAATGCAAACATTTGACAATTTGATTTTCCCAATTTCTCGTAGATACTGTCAATAAAGTGAATAATTCTCTTTGCATTTCGTCAACAGTTTATTTTGCAACTGGCATAAATATTCATCACTTTCGAGGTGTCTCGGTTATTTTTAGATTTTGTTAGCTTGTCATATAAATGAGAAAAGAGTTGCATAAAAGTATTGCATAAATGTATAGATTAATGCTAGTATAGATTTAAAGCTTTGTTAAAGGTACGGATGAAATAATAATTAACTTTTATATTTGTTATCTGTAGGAAATTTTAAAATGATAAGTATATTAAATAATCAGATTAACTTAACAAACTGATGGAAGGAACCGAGCAAAGATTAGAACATCATTCTTTGATTCATATGTATCAACCTTTTCACATAAATATTCCTTAAAATAAATGAAAGAAGATGGGAAAAGGTAACATTACAGACAATAGTGAACAGATTTGTGACTAATTGATTACTACATTATTCTCTAATTAAAGAAACTTATAAAGTTTCTAGTTACATGTATATCCGTGGCACAAAATACTTATAATTTAATTATAATAATAATAATAATTACTGTATAACCAATGTCAGTTAACAACAATGTAATAGGTACAATATAGGTACAACATAAGCAACAATTTTATTCATGTATATTGTCTTTAATATTATCCAAATTCCACATGACTCTGAATACAAATGTTGCAAAATGATATAAACGAAGACAAAATGTGGATGATACGAAAGAGTCCGTAGCTCCTGAAGATACATAAAATCGTAAAATCAACAATAATCTTACAATCATAATAAATCATGGATTCAAAAAAATGATATCGTGGGAAAAGATCCAAACCAAAGAAAGGAAAAGAAAACAGTATCTTCGTATTTTGTTATTTTTAAAATTTTCGAAAAAGAGATTTAACAATAATAGGAATGTTTAATAATGTTAGAATATATTTCAATTCTAATGCAACCTTTTAGCATTTAATTTAATTAAGCCTAATTAATCTAGTTAGAATTTACTCTAAATTTAACAAAGCTATTGAATCAATTTAAAAAATGTTTAATTTTAATTAATTTCTAAATTTTAATAAATGGTAATTAAATTTGATTCTGTACCATTTTATATTTACTTTTCAGTTACAAGTAATAAAGATAATTTCGACCACTGATTTGTTTAACGCAAGCTAATTAATTTATATCAACACCAGACTATAATGATTCATTGTCAAAAAACATCTCAGATTTGTTCGATGTTTCACATCATTCGCTGCACGTACAGATTGCACGAATTCACAAATGAACGTACAATTGAGCAAAAACGTGAATAAACTTACGACAGATAGGAATCGCTACTGTTGTTATTGATGACGATTGTCCAACGATTTGACAACCGAGTGAAAATATAGAGGCAAAGAGAAATGCGATTATTTCTTGGAAACGTTTCAGACAACTAACCACTTCGCTAGACAGATGCCGCAGTTTTATACATACCATACAAACTGTTCTTTGAGCTATCTCACTCAGACTGGCAAATGAAGTCGATGCGCTGTTTCTTAATAATTACTTTAAAGACATAACGCACGTTTGTCGAATTTCTTATTGCTCATTTTCTGGTTATTATGACGTTCATTACTTGGTCGTATGGTTTTTTTCCTTAATTACGAAATTTGAAATATCACAGATTATTAGGTGTACAAATTAATTAACTTCGATCAAAGCATTCTTTCAGAGAGCCTCCATTCTATTCCATTTTTGTGTGCAGTTTTTGGATCATTGGACTGCAAGTTTTCATATGTTTGTAAAAAAGTGGAACATATAAAAGTGCACAGAGAGAGTACAATTATGTCCATTATATGTATATGTAATATATAAATATATGTATATATATATATATATAATATTAAAATTGTAAATAAATCACATGTGTACTTATAATAATACAATAAGACAATAGATACTTAATAAGGTATTTAAAAATTAAAGATAAAGGTAACCTATCTTTAATGTAACGTCATCTACAATCACACGTAATGTATTGGCAACGTAATACTGTTTCTTTCCTCGCTTTATATTTTTCTTTGAAACAGCGAATAGTGAAATTTTAAATAGCGAAAAGAAACAAAAATTGTTAATACTATTGTGTACGTGGTTTCCAATGTATCAGAAATATGAATTATTCAACGATGTTTCCAATGTGCAATAGTCCAAGATTCGATACAGAAACTGAAGATAATGAAGACAAAAGTCAGGAACTGAATTTTCAAACAATTTATTTCGACTAGGACCAGGTGTGTCCAACCGTGTCGCATTTCATAATTTCTGTTAGTTTTAGAGTAAGAGTAAGATATTATTATATAAGATTTGTGATTAATTGATTACTTTATTCTTTTATTAAAGAAACTTATAAGTTTTGAAGATGCGTGCATCTGCGCTATAAAATACTTATAATATAATCACAATAATAATAATTATATAATTAATAATTATCACAGTTATATAATACAATTATATAATTATATAATTAATAATTATCACAATAATAATTATTATTATTATAATATAATCTGTGTGTTTCAAGCATATCTAAATATTTATTGCCAAAATTTTATGTCTCGTGACTCGTGATCAACCCATCGGAAGGTGATTTTACACGTAAAAATGTGTCGAAAAAAGAAAAAATAGCCTTCGTTTCCAAGAGAATCGAGGTTGAAAATTTATTAAACACATGTGTGCACAATAATGTACAATTTTTAAGGAAACGTATATTCACTTCATTCTGAATAATTAATAATTTAATAAAAAAAAAAAAAAACAAAGAAACTGGCGCAGTTCTAAATTACGAGTTTAGTTTCTTTAGTTTCAAGTATATTCCTCCTTTTGGCGCAAGCAGAAATGTATTCGTCGCAAACTGATAGGGAATCATAGTTTTCTCGCAAGTGATCACTTTATAATTGCGAAGTATCGTGATTAGTCCCACTTTGGTTTGATAAACGGCGAAACGCGCACCTAGAAAAGTTATTGCGAATCATTAGTGGTTGATTTAAACAAATATTTGCACCATAATGCTAGAAAAATTTGTACTACGATACTACTTATTCGATGAAATTGAACGTCTTCTTAGTTTTCTAACAGTGGATAGATTTTTCATACATCCTCGCACGCTGATTATGAATCCCAATGCGAATCCCAATCTTAGATATGAACTTGTACTTATTAATCTTTAATTTGTAAAATTGAAATTCCAAATTCTCGATCTTATAGAATAAGAAATTAATGATTATTCAAACTGTAGTACTATAATGTATTGTATTGTAGAGAATGACATAAATCTTAAAAAAAAAAAGGCGGAACATTTGAATAGACCTCATAAAAAATTTGAGATATCTCACATTTCTTAAAAGTTGCGATAAATCGATCTACAGTAGAAAAAGAAAGTATATAGTTTCATTTAAGAAACTATTGCATCTGCATGTTTTTAGATGCATCGTTGCCTTGAAAAAAAAAATAAATAAATAAACAACAATTTTTTGCATTTCAATAATTATAATATATATATTGAAATATACTTAAACACTGTACTAAAAACTATAAAACTATATTGAAATTATAACTATACTGAAACACTCTAAACATAGAAATTGATGTTAAAAGCATGTACTGGCACTAGAAAACGTATTTTACACACAGAATATGTATATATAAACAAACTCTTGGCCAGCATATATATATATATATACACATATATATATATATATACACATATATACACATACATACATATATACACATACATACATACACTCCATTATACATAAAACACATACATAAAAATACATGTGTTTCAAGATTCAAATACAAAAGTAGACAATTTCCTTCTTCGTTGATTCGTTTTAAAAATTGAGAACGAGACAAGTGGATTCTACGTTCGTAATCAGCGTGCAAGGATCAATCAGCAGTAGTAGATACCAAATCATAGTGGCTGCAAAAAAAAAAAAAGAAGAAAAAAAAATTCTTTCGCGTTTGATAGTGCGATTGAACAAATAGAAAATTTGCTACACCTTTCGAGATAATCACAAATATGACCGATGCAAGTCGTTTCTGCATTCGTAATCAGATAATTGAAAATCTATCAAAAGTAAACTGTTCGCTGTAAGAAAGATTTATTTCTTTTGTTAGAAAACTAGAACGTGTACCAATGCAGTTTCTCGGCCCGTCGCCAAACGGCAAATAAGTCATCGGGTGTCGAGCTTCGATGGCGTCCTCGTTGAAATTCTCCGGATTGAATACGTCGGGATTTGGATAAATGTCAGGATCACGATGGATCGCGTACATTGGGATCCATAGCTTCAAACCCTTCGGTATACTGACTTTTGTACCTGCGAAAGTATAAGCAGCGGTGGACCTCCTTGGTATCAAGCCCGCTACTGGATATTTCCTCTGCGTCTCTACAAAAGGTCAATGAAAAAAAAATCATCTTCCGCCGTGAATTCTCCGCTCTCATTCTCCAAGAAACGTGTTAGAACGTTTGTACACGTGCCTTTGAACACTTTGTCCAGGTATTCCATGTCTTTGACGTGTTCGTACTTCAACTCTCCGCCGTGTTTCGCGAGATTTGACCTGATCTCTTCGCGCAACTTGTCCTGGACCTGTTGATTGAGGGCCAGTTCGTACAGTGTGTTGCTCATCGCCGACGACGAGGTTTCGAAACCAGCGGCGAAGAAAACAAATGCCTGCGCGGTTATCAAGCTGTCGGTCAGTTCTGCAAGATACGGTTCAATTTCGTTAGCTGACGAATATATGTGAATTTCAATTGCCAATTCTAAACGAAAAAATTTTGAAGTCCATTAACGAGCGAGCAATGTTTAGACGTTTATGCGAAAACGTTGTATTATAACGTAGTCATCTCGTATCTTTGTGTATATTAGTTTCGTACACAGTACAAGTCACATACACAGTAGTATTTTCTTTTTATCAGAGTTGGACATATTTTATTCGAACACTTTTGGTTTATTTAATAAATTCACTTTTAGTGCCATTTTTTGTTCGAACATTTTGTCGGTTAATTTGTTTGCTTTAGGCAAACAAACAAGTTTGTTATCGTTGCAAATGAAAAAAGGACTCCTGACTCTTTTTCTTTACATTATTTCAGCAAATATTTCGAATGAAGTTTTCATTCGAAGAATTTAAATGTTATTCGAATAATGCCCGACTCTGCCTTCTATACAGAGTGTTTAAATTAAATTACAGAATCGTATTTTACAAGTGAAAATAAGGAAAGTCTGTTCGCGAACGCTTCGTTGCGAAGTTGTGTCGTTCATATGTCTTCATATTAAATTGTGTTGTGTGTCGAACTTATTCAAATTCGCCAGAAAAATCCAATCTAGACGTAACACGTACAAGTCGTATTTTAAAAACTCACTAATATTGCCCACTTTCTCCGGGTGTTCCTTCAACTGCATGAGCATGTGGATAAAATCGGGCCTGTATACGTCGTGCTCTTTCCTGTATCTCATGGTGTCCGTGACGAGCTTGGTGAAGAACGGTGCAAGCCGTTTATCAGGTGCAATGTAACCCAACCAGTCGTACAGCTTCGACGCGTACAGCCGCATTTTTAACCGTATCACGCCCTCCAAACTCGGGCGGAAGATCTCTCTGCCGACCTTGCGGAACTCGCTGTCCTCGTCGGACATCGAGCTCATCTCGATTCCAAACGCGCAGGAGCCAATCACGTCGGTCGTGTACTTCGCCGTTACCTCGCGAAAATCGGCAGGCTCGTCCCTCGCGGCCAATTTGTCCAGGTATTTCTCGAAGTGTTCCGCACACTCGAGTATCAGGCCGAACATGTCCTTCAGTTTGCCGGACGTGAACATCGGGGTGAGTTTCGATCTTAACGGGCGCCACCTTTCCGGCTCCAGGTTCAACAGATTCAGTGACAGCGGCTCCGTCTGTAAACGATTTGCGACGTCAGTGATCGATACCTGACGATTGATGGAAACGTTCGTTTCCTGGACAATTGGAAAGGGGAGAAGCGACGTTGTCGTTATTGCTTACTGACAAACTGTGTCTTCAGTAATTTCCGAGATATTTGACAAAATACGCACTCTCACATTTGAGAGGGTAGTTTTCACCCTGTATATTTTAGCATATTTTAATATTTTTGCAAGAACTACATTTATGCTAAATTTCATTAAAATCGATGTATATATTCATATACATTTGTCATAGTTCCCACTCTGTTCCGCAGCAGGCCATATAAATTATTTTCTTCCTTTAACTTTAACAGTTACAGTAAAGAAAAGAATTTATATGTATTCGTATACATCTAATAATTGGCGGTGTTATGGCCGCGACACTCTCGACATAGTGGGGGAGATCGATGCAGTGGAGGGGATAGCCCTAGCGATCAGGAAAGTGGGGGTAAGGGACCGCCAGTTAGCCATCTCTGGGATAGAAGATTAAAAATTTCTTTACCAGTCGATTATTTGGAAAATCTATTCATGGATCTTGCTTTGCAATTAAAACAATTGTTTATTAAGATAATTTTACGATAGTTTATTGCTGTTTTTAGGAAAGATTGTGCACCTGTACGTCCGTTGAATATAAAGACAGGGCTTTTGAAGTTATGATATATTCGATGTATTTTAAAAATACGCGTTTGAAGTGCATATTTATGTGAAATATATTGACAGTTTATAAATACGGATAATAGATACGGAAAAGGACGAATTTATTAATATCTAATTTGTTTAATATCAAATTAAAGATTAGTAAATAAATTTTGCACAGAGTGAACGTAGCTGTTGAAAATTGGAGAATAAAAATTCAAAATCGTGGATACTTAAAAATTGTGCTGAAGATTAAATTAAATTTGTTCGTTTTTTGAAAGATCGATGATTTTGTTACTTAAATTCATTGACAAAGTTTAAACATTCATTGCCAAAAAGAAACCGAGAAAAGCAAGAAGAAGAAAAAAGAAATCAAACATATAGAGGGGAAGCGATAAATTAAAAATTTCATCTATTTTTGACTTTATTCTGATAACAAGACGTTATTTATCAGAAACAAAACTACTCAAAGTAATTAAATAAGTATTCAAAATATCTAAATTTCAAAATAAATTATACTTTCACGTACTGCAATTTTACACACTGTGTTATTACCGGTATTAACAATTTTCTGTTTCTTTTTTTCTCTCAAGTGAAATTGAACATATTTACGAACGTTCCCTTCATTTCAATTTAAATAACAAAACGTTGTTGTGTTATTGTGTTAAACAAATGCAGTCAACGATTGAAATACAATTATTTCATTTGCAACAGAAACGCAACGTGACATACCCTTTCGTGGACAGTTAATCCTCGGTCGGAGAATATCGGAAAGTCCTTGATCAAAACGTCTTTAATTAGTTCCGGGTCTTTCAGAACGAGAACTGGCGATCTCCTCATATACAGTCCAACCATCGGTTCGTTTTTATATTCTTCGTAGAGTTTCTTCAGATACTGGGCCAATGAAATTCGTGCAAACATGTGCTCCATTGTATTCCCGAAGAAGAACGCCGGTTTTGGTCCTGGAACCCCGCGGCTTTTCCAAAAACTGAACGCTGATACTGAATAATAATAAAACGCCAGCAGCAGCGCGACAACGCCGCATATGATTTCCAAGTATCCCACCATAATTCCACCAATGTATTTGAACGACTGATAGTTCAAACAGTATGCAATTCCACTCCTGAAAAAATTTATATTTTTTATGTTGTTGATTAAAGAAACTGGAGGTTTTAGAAGTTCAGTCAGTACAAATTTTCATTAATCAATTGGTATCATTGATTTGATTGATATGATTGATCTTTATCGTCGTTACTATCGTTTTATGTTAAATTGTAAAACATTTGAAATCTTTATTTCTAGATCTTAGCTGTCTAGTCAGAAAACGTTTGCCGAGTATCTGTATAGTGTTGAAATTTGTAATTTCCTTGGACACAGACAAAGAATAAAGTACAAAATAAAATTAAATCACTTAAGTTTTGGCAGTAAAAATTGTTATGATGTCATTTAAGAATTAAAGACACAGCCAGGACAGTTTGTCATAAAAATTTTGCAAGTTATATATTAAAATATAGTAATATGACATTATAATTATATACAAATTACAATATATGTTAGAATTGCATATTAATTGTATGTGATAATAATATATTAATAACATATATGTAGAACAATAATGTAATAACATTGTGAACTAAATTTCTTTTTTTCTTAATTGGATTGATTCAATCATTGTTTTGCACTGTATTATAATAATAATTATATCATAATTAAATGAAACTGCTTAAATGAAGAGTATTCTCATGATACAAGTTAAGTATAGTAACTTCTGGCTTCTCCAGTTGCAATTTAGAAGCAATTTATATCCTCTCGTTGAAGCACATTTTTAGCTTTAGTCATAGTTAGCTGTTATCACAATATACAAATATGTGCATATACGTACATGCTTACATTAGGTGTGTTGCAACGCTAATTGCAGCAATCAAGTATAATTATTACTCGCATTTACTCGAAAACTTTGATACGTTGACATCTAAATATCCCCTTTATTTATTTGTGGAAAGTTTGAAGTTGCAAATTTACAAGATATGCAAGCAGTGCGCAAACTTGTATAAAATATTAATAAAAGTGGAGTGTTTATTTATTATTAACGCTCAGTAGAATTAAAAATGTATAAGTGTGATGAAAAATCCGCAATCTAGTCGTCACGTCGAGTGTACGAAAATGTTTTATCGTTGTATTTCAGCATTTATATTTAAACATACTTCAATAGAATTTGTATCGATCAATGACCTTATTGTCTATATTATTACGAAAATTTAATTGATTTAAATTATTAGAACAATTATCTGCTGTATCAGTTTCAATGTTTCCTATCAGTAAGATATATTTATGTCTGTAACAGCTTAAATCTTCGTCGTTGCACGTCATTATTGATACACGATAAATGTTTAATATTGATCAACTGATTTTGATACTGATAAACTTTCTAACTCCGTTTCGAACAACAGAGAGATTGTTTTTTATGCCGTATTGAATTCTCGTACGATTGAATTTAAAAGCTAATTGTTTTAAATGAACATCAATTTTCGTTCGAATCCTCGCAGATGAGTACGTGGACGAAAAGTGGACGAAAATATTGAAAAATTTTATATTTCAAACTGTTGTTGCCTAAAGAATAAACGCTTTCGATAAATATTCAAATCGCATGATCTGCTTTTCAGTGACGATGTTTCTTGAGAAATATGAAAATATTCAAGCACACCGCTTTCTTTCAACAATAAACGCACAGTATTATTCTTGAGCCTTTCATTTCAGAACTCTCCAATGAAATTTTGTAAAAGAGAAACACTGTCGCAATAATACTTCAACATATATTGAACACTGCTACATATATCAAACATCTAAATCATTTTCGATGCTGTTGAAGTTAAAAAGAAGACAATAATTGATACAGACATGCATAATGTGTATATATATATATAGTATAATCATAAGTTATGTTGAACGAAAAGTACAATCGAAAGTGTAGCATACGAAGCACAGTCATCTCGTGATCAACAATTTTTTAATTAATCATGACCTCTGATAACAACGACTTTAGTTACTTGCTACGGCACTAATCAATGATTACCGATTGTCTGATAAAACTGTCTCTGATTAGTAGCTTTATTTCACGTTGATTATTATCTTTGATCATTGATCGGATTTGAATTTTTCGTTTCGCAAGAACTCGAGAACTCTCTTGAAATGTAGAAATTTCGCAGTTGTTTATCGCGACCTTCTGACATTACGGATAAAAATTGGAATATCGCCTTTAGAATATCGGCCTAATTATGCATATTATTATATATTATTATACATTATTATAAATAATTATAATATGTAATGATTAACTATATTATAAATTATTATATGCAATGAATAATCTGAATTAAATGTTAAATATTACAATTTGAATCAAAATGATTAATTAATTTTCTCCTTCTTCTTTCGTTTGATAACTCGTCCCCAAGGAGACACACGAAATCGTAAAAATCATAATTCCGTGAAAACGAGGAATCGATTATGTCAAGACGCAACTAGAAACAGAACTGCAAGTAACACACTTTTACAACTGTAATTTAAACGACGCGCATTTATGCCCGTTGTAAAGCGAATGTATTAATTTAATTTCACAGGTGATTCGTCACCTTTTAATTTAACTTACACAGTTAACACATACGTGTTCAGATGCTGAAGGATTTATAATTCGAAGGCAAATATGATTCTTTCAATTACGTTAGTTTCATTTCACAGTATTTGTCAAATAAAGTTCATTCAACACGCGTGATTAAACTGCGGATTCTTTTTGTGAAAATAATTAAAAAAGCAAGATCAGAGCTCCGATTCATCGATCAAATATATAAATTAGGTGAAATTCAATATTTCTTATTTATTCATTTGTTATTATTTTATAATCTTCTAGAGTGTGATCAATTTTATAATCTTCTAAAGTATGACAAATTATGCAAATTTATGGCATTCGCAATGTACAGCGTAACAATAACGTCTTTTGCAAATTCAAAGAATTCAAAAAATTCAAAAAATTGTCACCACAGAATTGAGAACAAGAAGTTGACATTTAACTTCTTCGATATACGTTCGAACTACAACATCTTTCATTCTAAGATTATAATTTTTAAACTGCTGGTGGAAGTTGTTCGCTGAAGGAAAGGATAAGTCAACAACCGTGTAGAAAATGATCAAGGGAATAAAACTTTATACTTGAAAGATTTTAAAAATAATAGTAATAAAGTTCAGATCATGGTAAATGTCTCGAACCACGTCTTAACTTTATTAGGTGTTTCAAATGATTCACAAACGGCAGTCTATGTAACGTCTATACAGCAACTTCAAGAACGTATGCATTACGTAAGATTAGACATGCATACGTTCAACAATACAATATGCATAGAGCGGAATTGATAGCAGGCAACATTGATATATCTTTTACGATACACGTACTTACATATACACATATGTACACTGTGTTACATGCTGTGCCACTTAAATACGAAATACGATGTGTTCGTTACTGTGATTCGTAACAGACTGGAGCTAATCTTTCGATGTTTTAATCTTTATACGTACGTATAGTGTGCATCAAAAGTATAAGCAAGATGATGACTTGCAAACGATTTCACACTATTGGACTTAAATTCGAAGAACTATGAGACAAGCTAAGGAGTGCAATTCATGATTATGAGGGAAAACATTAAAATTCACTGATGATAGTTTGTTCAGGCTCGTCGAGGCACTAGCTGTAAATCTGGTGGCAATGAATAAAATATTTGACATTACTTGGGATGTGCTGAAGTTTCAGTTACCACAGGTCACATTTGATAAAGGAAATATTACAGATCGATTTGAGATAAATTTAAATTAAAAAAAGAAATAAACAGCATTTGTTAAGGCATAATTCATAATTCATGCTATATTAATTTTCTACTAAATATACATTTGCAATAAATATCTTGCAACCTTTATCCACGTTTGCAGGTCTCAAATTTGATCGACATAATTACAGCACTTCGTTTCTCATTTTCTCAGTGTTAATGAAATTTCACAACATTTTAGACAACACGTATAGTTTCTCCTCTGAAAATTTTCCTAATATATAATTATAGTTATGAAATACATTTAATTATACATAATAAATAATAAATAAATTATACATAATAAATAATAAATAAATTCATACAACACGTGAAATTTCATCCATGAAAATTTTGCCGATACAAACATACACGCAAACGTTTGAACACCATTGCAGTCAAGTGATGCAAAGTATTACAAAGGAACGTTAACACTATTTACATATGTTGTTAACTCTAATTTATCAATCTTAATTTAAAATTTTTCGAAGTTTTGATTTTAAAATGTCGAACGTGGCCTTTTCTATTTTTAAAGAAACGACCACATTATGCTTCCAGTTTCGTGAGTCTTAAATATATTCCTCCTTTTGGACCAAGCAGGAACCCAGTATGTTCAAATTCATAAGGGATCATGGTTTTCTCGCAAGCGTCCATCTTATACTTTCGAAGTATCGTGACCAGACCCACTTTGATTTGACAATCGGCAAAACGTCCGCCTGGAAACGCGAATTATGCGAATTATTAACGAGTGACATTGATAAATATGCATGTGCTACAATACTATTCGACAAATCTGGAATTTTTCTTACTTTTATAACAAGTGAACAGTCATTTCTGATAGACTTTTGATGACTACAAAATCTTGATGAAAATCTTTGATGCAAAGTATTGTAGTATTGATTAAAAATATTAACTTATATATATGTCGAGCAGTTGTTAACTTAGCAGATATTTTCATTTTAATTTTGTAAAATCTATCGCACGGAAGAGGAGGGAAAGCATTCTTAAACGGTGCAAATATTGCCACAAGTTTCGTAAAATGAAAGATAAAATAGTACCTAAATTAATAACTGTTTGACATATAGAATCCTTTGTTCATGGAGAACGTTGACCTGCATTTATCAGTACATAAAAAAATATATACGATTCCGTTTGAAAAAAAGTGGAGATGATTCTACGATCCCGGTACACCTCCTCTAGCTTGCTAATCGTTATAAAATTTCGAAACCGGACAAGATTTATCCCAAACATTATTTTTCCGAATAACGAACAACTGCTTAGATGAAGTATAAAACGTGACACTTGTGTCTGAGAGCAAACAAAAATCACACCTAACTGATGCAAAATTGAAAATTTGCTTATTCTCAAAATTATGTCTTCCAAAAAAAAAAAACCTAAAACGCTTGGTACAAATGGTTTCTGCATTCGTAATCAAAATCAAAAATCTATCAAAAAATAGCTATTAGCTGTAAGAGAGATTCATTTCTTTCGGTATAACTGAACGTGTACCGATGCAATTTCTTGGTCCTCCGCCAAACGGCAAAAAAGTCATCGGGTGTCGAGTTGCAATGGCTTCTTCACTGAATCTCTCGGGGTTGTATACGTCGGGATTTGGATAATTGTCGGGATCACGATGTATCGCCAGTATTGGAATCCATATCATTATACGCTTCGGTATAGTGAGCTTTGTGTCTCTGAAAGTATAAGGACAAAGAGCTCTTCGTGGCGTTAGACCGCCAGGTGGATATTTCCTTAACGTCTCTGCAGAAATACAGAAATTAAAAGCAATTTAAATTTCGTAAATCTTTCTAATTCAACAAAAAGGGAAGAAATAAATTATCGATTTACTCTTTCGCGAAGAGTAGCGAAGAGCTTGTGTCAATATTTTCACAATTGGCTTTTTTTCAGTTGGTTATTAGCTTCAATTTTTGAAAAACAACCTTTCTCATTACTACATGCAAAACTGCGCAGTAAAAAAGCAAAGCAGAAAACAGATGTAACGTGCAATTTTACAACAATGTAGAAAAAGCGAGGAGATATACTATAAATACTAAGATAATAAATACTAAATACGATATTAAAATATGTATTATAATACGATATCATGTACCTTAAAAATAGTATGTACAGTTAAAAATATATCTTAAAAGTATAGTAGTAAAAATATTAAAAAAGGTACTGAGTAGTAAAATATTTTAGTACGATACTACAGTACTAAAATACTCGCGTATTTTCTTCTCGTATGAGTTTATTCTTCTGCTCAGACACGTACCTTTGTACACTTTGTCCAAATACTTCATGTCTTTCATATTTTCGTATTTAAATTCCCCGTTGTTCTTCGCGAAGTGTTCGTTGATTTCTTGACGCAACTTGTCTTGAATATCGGGATTCAGGGCAAGTTCGTAGAGGGCGTTGGTTATTGTCGTCGATGAAGTCTCAAAACCGGCAACGAAGAAACCGAAAGCTTGTGCCACCAACAAACTGTCGGTTATTTCTAAAAGAAAAGAAGAAAATATACGATTTATTTATGTTAACTGTACAAGTGTATAAATTAAGCTGCACTGGGTTATCAAATGAATAATGTACATAGTCGTTGGCTTTTCTTTGGAATGATTATTCATCAGCAATTGATCATTTTTCTTCGATAATTATTTGATCCACTGCCAATTTTATACACACGGCTGTAGTTTCTCATTTGATTTTCGAATACAAATCAGTTCTCATTTGTGAATACAAATTAAAAATACGAAATTGTCTTTAAAATGTAGGAAGTATAGAAAATATCTCTCTATTAGCTTCGATACTTTCAAATACTTGCATTTGATCGAAAAAGGATAATACAATTCACTCGTTAGTTAAATTTATACTTCACGAAAACGGGGATGTAAATAAAAAATTGCTATTCTTTCGTTTGGATTTATTACATATATTTTAGTCGAGGATGCCGCGATAGTAGAAACGTCAACAATATAGCGTCATAGTGAAACTTCGGCGTTACTGCAAACTTACTAATGTCGCCCATTTTCTCTGGATGTTCCTTCAGCTCCATTAGCATTTGGATGAAGTCCGGCCTNTTCAGACTTTGGTTTGCCTGGTTTAGGTATGGGGAGAATTTTTGCAGTTTTCCACATGTTCGGGAAGTATGAGAGTAGAATACAAGCTTTCATTATATAATAAACTTGTAGGATACCTTTAGTTGGAAGGCTTTTTAGCTTTGGAGCTGTGATGTTGTCCTGTCCTAGGGTTTTTGTGTTTGGGAGATCTCTGATGATGTCCTTGATGAGTTGGGGGGTGATGTTTGTTTCTTTCCATATGGTTTCTACAGGGATGTTTGTGTTGGCTATTTTGAGTGCATGCTTGTTGATTTCGTTTTCTATTGGAGAGATGATACGAGAGGTCTGATTGTGTGATTCTGCAAAAGTGTTGGCAATTGCTTCAGCTTTGTCTAGATCCGAATAGTATGTGTTTCCAGAATTGGAGTCAGTGAGGGGTGGGATGTTAATGCTTCTTTTTCCTGTTAGTTTGTAAGTTTGCCAGAGGATGTGATCTGGTTTGGATATGTTCTTGAGTCGTTTTTGCCATGTGTTATTGCGAGATTCCTTGATTATTTTTTGGATTTTTGTAGTTAAGATGTTGCGGATAAGTTTGTGGAGCAGATTGCCTGTTTTTTGATACTTTCTGCGATGGTGATTTCTGAGTTTGATGAGGTTGATTAGTTGTGTCTCCGGGAATGTTTGATGGGTTTGTGTTGAGGATGAGTGAGTTGCTCTGGTGTAAGCTTTGTGCATGCTGATTTTTAGTTTTTCTATTTGTTTGTCCACTTCGTCGGGTCCATTGATTTTGGTACAGAGATGGTGTGTGTTACAGAATCTGGTGTATAGCTGCCAATTGGTGCGTTGAGGTTTTTTATGTCTGTTAGGGGAGTAGCTGGTTTCTAGCTCTAGAATTATCGGGAGGTGGTTGGAGGTCAGGTCGTCTATGGTTCTGATTGTGTGCTTGTATGGTGCGTTGGTGAGGAAGATGTCCAGGTTGGAAGGCTTGCAGTTAGGTTGCTTATATGAGAACGTTGGGGAGTGGAGTATGATGTAGTTTTCAGATTCTGTATGGTTTTTTAGAGTGACGCCATTGGTATTCCTGCTGGGGTTATTCCAGAGTTGGTGTTTTGCATTGAGATCGCCACCAGTAACATAGATTTCGTTATGATGTTTGGTGGTGATTTCATGTAGATCTTCAGGGGCGATTTTGTTGTTGGGTGGTGCGTAAGCTGCCGTGAAAATAATGGATGGGTTGCTTTTGGTTTTAACTGATATGGCTTCTATGCGAGGGGTGTTGGGAAGTGGTGTGTTATCTATGGGAATGAGATGACTTGTAGCAATGAGTACTCCCCCTCTTTGAGGTTTGCCTGGTACCGGGGATCGATCCTTGCGGGTAATGTTGTATCCTTGTAGTTTAAGTTGATCCGTGGGGGATAGCCATGTTTCAGTTATGAGTGCTACGTCTATGCTGTGATCAATGATGAATTTCTGGAGTTCCATGAGTTTGTTTTTGATGCTAGTAACATTCCATACCATGATTTTGATAAGGAACTGCCCCTCTGTGCACTCCTTCGGGTATATATCCCTCGGTCCGACCTTCGTCCAGATACCCTAGCTCTGGTTTACGGGCATCCGTCATAAACCTTGGGACCGGCACATGGTCCTTAACCTTGAGTGGCCTCTTCTACCGAGTAGACAAGGAAGTCTTCCCACGCCTACGGGCTAACATTCGCTCACACACAATATGACGCAAAAGATAAAGTGATTATCGATTGCACAAAATGGTCCATTTAACTACATCACCTAAATATCTCCTCGAATTGTGCTGATGCAGAAAATATTTTTTGTCTTATTTTCTCAGTATCAGTGGAATTTCAAAACACGTATAGTTCCCTCTCTGGAAAATTTCCTAATACGTAATTGTAATTATATACATAAAATTATATGGAATAAACAGGAAATAAATTTACACAACACGTGAAATTTCTTTTATATAAACTTTCACAATACAAACATAGGAGCAGATGTTTAAACACCATTGCAATCAAGTGTTGCAAAGTATTACAAAGGAACATTAATACTACTCACATATATTATTAACTCGTGTGAGCGAATGTTAGCCACCGGACCATAGGCCGATTTCAAGGTTTATGACCGTAAAACAGAGCTAGGGTATCCGGATGAAGGTCGGACCGAGGAAGATTCCAGGTTTGCACGAAACGAGGGGCATTCGGTCGGTAGACCGTCACCGAGGTCGCACGTCGGAGTTAGTCTTCAGCTTAGCAAGAAAATGTACACTTTGTTAAACGAGAACTCCATTGTAAAATTATTGCCTACACTCGAATTTATCAATCTCAATTTTCAATCCATCAAACTTTTCAAGGTCTTGATTTTAAAGTATCGAAGCTTTTTTTTTTTTTTTTGAAGACGCGACCACATTATGCTTGCAATTTCGATAATCCTAAATATATTCCTCCTTTTGGACAAAGCGTGAACCCAGTCGGTTCAAATTCATAAGGGATCATGGTTTTCTCGCAACTGTTCACTTTATACTTTCGAAGAATCTTGACCAGACCCACTTTGGTTTGACAGTCGGCAAAACGTCCACCTGAAAACGTGAATTATACGAATTATTAACTAGTAATGTCGATAGAAATGATTGAGTCATAATACTATTCGACAAATTTGGATTTTTTCTTATTTTCACAACAGTGAACAGTCATTTTTAATAGATTTTTCCGTATGACGACTGCAAAATCTTCCGCATGAAAAAAATGGAGATGATTTTATGATGTCGGTAGACCTCCTCCATCTAGACTTGGTGATGATTATAAAATTTCGAAAAACAGGACTAGATTTATCCCAAACATTCCTCCAATTACTTAGATGAACTAAAAAACGTGACACCTGTGTCTAAGTGCAAGCAAAAATTACACGTAACTGATGCAAAATTAAAAATGTGCCTTTTCTCAAAATTATACCTTTCGAAAAGCCAAAGATGACTGGTTCAAGTGGTTTCTGCATTCGTAATCAAAATCAAAAATCTATCAAAAATAACTATTAACTGTAAGAACGATTTATTTCTTTTGGTATAATTGAACGTGCAATACCGATGCAATTTCTTGGTCCTCCACCAAATGGCAAATAAGTCATCGGATGTCGAGCTTCGATGGCTTCCTTACTGAATCTCTCGGGATTGAATTCGTCGGGATTTGGATAAATGTCGGGATCACGATGTATCGCCAGTGTAGGAATCCATACCATTAAACGCTTCGGTATAGTGAGCTTTGTGTTTCTGAAAGTATAAGGACGAAGAGCTCTTCGTGGCAGCACACCGATTGGTGGATATTTCCTTAACGTCTCTGCAGAAATACATTAAATGTTATATAAATTTCGTGAATCATTTTAATTAAATAAGAAGGAAATAAATTATCGATTTAGCAAACTGCAGCTTGAGCCAATATTTTCGCAATTGTTTCTTAGCTACAACTTATGAGAAACGGTATTTTTCTATTTCGTATGTAAAACTGCGTACATGCATTTTACAAGAAAGTAAAAAAAAAAAAAAATGAAGCGAAGAGGAATCTCCGTTTTTGAGAAAAATGTGGCAATTTTTATATATGTCTCGAAAATTGCATACTTTTCATGGTCTTTCTGGGAAACTAAGAGGAATCTTAAATATAAGAGACTGAATAAGATACTAAGCAAAAATTTGTTTATAAGATGTTAAAATATATATATTATAGCAAGATATATTATGTATCTTAAAAGTGTAATATAAAATATATTTTATAATAAAAGTATTAAAAGTATTAAATAAGATACTGAGTAATAAAATATTTTAGTAAGATACTAAATTACTAAAATACTCGCGTATTTTCTTCTCGTATGAGTTTATTCCTCTGCTTAGACACGTACCTTTGTACACTTTGTCCAAATACTTCATGTCTTTCATATTTTCGTATTTAAACTCCCCATCGTTCTTCGCGAAGTGTTCGTCGATCTCTTGACGCAACTTGTCTTGAATATCGGGATTCAGGGCAAGTTCGTAGAGGGAGTTAGTCATTGTCGTCGATGAGGTCTCAAAACCGGCAACGAAGAAACCGAAAGCTTGTGCCGCCAACAAATTGTCTGTTATTTCTAAAAGAAAAGAAGAAAATTTACGATTTATTTGTGTTAATTGTACAAGTATATCAATTAAATTACACTGGTTTATCGTATGAATGATGTACGTAGTCGTAGGTTTTTCTATGAAATAATTATTCATCAGCAGTTGGTCATTTCTCTTCGATAATTTTTTGATCCACTGCTATTTTTATACATACTGCTATTTTTATATATGCTGCAGTTCCTCATTTGATTTTTAAATACAAATCAGTTTTCATTTGTCAACACAAATTAAAAATACAAAATTGTCTTCAAAATGTAGGAAGTATAGAAAATATCTCTCTATTAGCTTCGATACTTTCAAATACTTGCATTTGATCGAAAAAGGATAATACAATTCACTTGTTTGTTAAATTTATACTTCACGAAAACGGGGATGTAAATAAAAAATTGCTATTCCTTCGTTTGGATTTATTACATACATTTCACTCGGGAATGTCGCGACAGTAGAAATGTCAGAATGTAGTGTCATACTGAGACTTCGGCGTTACTGCAAACTTACTATTGTCGCCCATTTTCTCTGGATGTTCCTTCAGCTCCATTAGCATTTGGATGAAGTCCGGCCTGTGGATATTATGCTCTTTCCTGTACCTCATAGAGTCAAGAACGATCCTGGTGAAGAACGCAGTGAATCGTTTCTCGGGCACAATGTAACCCAACAGCTCGTACAGTTTTCGTGCATACAGCCGCATTCTTAACCGCACTGCATTTTCGAATTCCTTTAGATCGAAGACCAGTTTACCGATTCGACGGAACTCGCTGCTCTCGTCGGACATCGAGTTCGCGTCGATCCCGAACACACATGAAGCGATCACGTCGGTCGTGAATTTGGCCGATACCTCGGAGAATTCGATCGGCTCGTCCCTCGCGACCAGTTGGTCTACGTATTTCTCGAGTTGATCCGCGCACTCGAGGACCAGGCCGAACATGCTTTTGATCTTGGCCACTGAGAACAGGGGATGTAGGTGTGTCCTCAGCGGGCGCCATCTTTCTGGATCCAGGCTGATAATCTGCGTCGAAAGCGGCTCTGTCTGTAATTAGTTTACAATATCAGTTCAGAGACTCGAAGGAATAAGTACGTTTGGTTGTAAGGCGGTCGTTTCCTCGACTCTTTAGCAAGAAGTATTTGTTAATATGTTCAAAACCTATCTGTAAAAATGTGTGTGTATGTATGTGTGTGTATGTATTAATTTATGACGTGGCATATGGTAGTAGAATCTACAAAGGAAATGACACTTGAGCAGAACGGGACAAGCCTACTTAATAAAAAATGAAGAGACGCGCAGAGAATATCCGGGAAAACAATAGAACAAGTTCTTACAATGAAAGGCAAAGAAGAATGTTCAAATACGTGCAAGAAACAAGAACAAATGAAGGAAGATCAGTCAGATGATTTGAAAGAACCAGACTGATCTAAAACAAGAATATCATTGTGCAAATATAAGTACAGTATGCAAATTGGAAATTGACAGGTCAGAAATGTAAAATTAATAAACAAATGAAATTAATTTACAATTTAGAAGTATACAAAATTAAATATACTAGATAAATATATTAGATAATATATTAAATTAATAAATGTATCTACCATTTGGAATTATTTTAATAAAATGCCTTTACGATGCGAACACTGATTCGTAATTATAAATACGGATGAAAGGTATGGAGAAGAAACAGAAGTTGTATTATATTAACACAATTCTGAAAGTGGCAGGACAGAAGAATTAATGTAACAAATGGATAACATTAATTTACGATTTAGAAATGCAACGTGACGTACTCTTTCGTAAACGATCAGTCCTCGGTCGGAGAACGTCGAGAAATCCTTGACCAGAACATCCTTGATTAATTCTGGATCATTTAGAACAAGGATCGCCGATCTTCTCATGTATAGCCCGAACATTGACACGCTTTTGAATTCCTGATATATTTTGTACAGATAGTCCGCCGTCGAATGTCGCGAGAATAAGATGTCCATGCTGTTTCCAAAAAAGAACACCGGCTTTGGACCCGAAATTCCGCGATTCTTCCAAAAACTAAACGCTGATGTCGAATAGTAATAGAAAGCCAGAAGTAACGCCATGACGCACAAGATTTCAAGGTAGGCCATCGTGGCTCTTTGTATTAAGTATTGCGATGGTTTAAACAACTTGCTGAAAAAGTGCAAAGTTCCTCTCATGAAAATTTTACAAATTTTATATAGTATTAAAATACAAGAGAGTATGATATTTAAAAAGTAATAAAATATAATATTTCATTTCAGTCAGTATTAATATTTCTTTTCTTCGTAAAATAAGGAAAGAGGATTGATTGGTGGTTTCAAGGGGCAGTCAGTGTAGACTTTTGTGTATTTACTTGACAAAGTTGTTTGGTTATTATATTTCAGTAATTATATCACAGTGATGTTATTACAATGACAAAACTGTTCTCTCGTCGACTGAAAGTTTCAAAAAAATTTTTTTAATGAGAAACGTACAAGAGTGCTTTCATGAAAAGTGATTTACACTGAGCCTTCCAAGTTTCTCTTAATNCATAGGAGAAATTAACATTTTGCGAATCGTGATTATGTTTTATTTGCTTCGCTGTCACGCGACACACGTAGCACTTAACAACAAAAATTCATCTATAGATACATCAATTTGCAATTACTAATATAGAGTCTTGGTGACATCTCGATTGACATTAATACCTCAAATAATTAACTTCTTTCATTCATGTTTATTTACTTCTCTTATTAAAAAAAAAAAGAATGCTGAAGAGAATTCAATCTGTATTATCCAAATTATTTTATCATCCCCTGAATGAAATTCCATTGTACATATGTATTACGAATGAAACTTCACAGACTAATTATTGAACATAGATAATCATTCAGAAAATTTCTTTTGCGTTATTATTACGATTATTACTCAGAAAATATTTATATTAATTACTTATTAACATTCTCTCCTCCTTCATTATCTTTAAGGAATATTCAACACTTTACATTTCCAAATCAAGTATTCATCGCATGATCAATGCTTGACAGATTGCTTTAAAATACGTGCATAGCGTAAACCTTTCGCTGACCTTACGCGGATTGTTAATTCTAACGTGGTTTTTATGTTTATTTATATGGTTCTAACTATTCGTGTCATTTTTACTCGAAAGAATGTAAGCACGAAGAATAAATGTTCGAAAGAAAACTAGACGTAAGTAGATGTTTTTCACGTAAGAGTTTAGGTATCGCTAATGTACAGGATGTTTCCAAAGTCAAAAAGTCGAAAATGAAAGAATAAAATATCCCCATGTAACGCTTGTTGAGAAAATCGAGTTCAACCCGTACCATAATGCCTCCGTAATTTAACAGCAAGGAGTAATAAATTTTGTTTTCCCAATTTCGTACGTTTCTTTCGAAGACTTTCGCGAATAACTGTGCGTACCTACCCTCTGTATAACAGAGCGGATCAGCTCACACGCGTTCTACTCCGGAAGTTTCCATTAGCACCTTGTAACTGACGAGAGCTGATTTTATTGGAGGCTGTATAAAAAAAACTGCTGTAATGTAATCCCCATGAAACGATTACGTATGAATATTTAAATCGTTATAGTGGATTCAATCACGATCGGAGACGTTTTCCTTTTAAAGTAGAGAATAGTTATTAGGAATCACGTAGAGATACGGAGTTAATCATTTTTCTTTAAGTTTTTCTATTTATAGCAGTTTAAAGATAAATATATAATTGTCGAAAGATTGCTCTCTTTCTCAGCCATTTTTAATCATTTGATTGTATCGTATGAACAAGGGAAAATATAATGAAAAGTGGAGGGTGGACCTCGCGAGGACTTCGATAACACAGAATGGACTGTCATCATTGACAGTTAAGCTATTATTTCTTCATAAATTGTACTAAAATGTTTGTACTTTGTTGTAACATACACAGCGAGAGATGACGGAAACAGAGTTATCCCATCTCTTCCATATTTCTTTGCATTTTAACCACTTCAGTGTCAGGCGGTGCGATAGCGCTTCCCTGAGATGTAATTCCAGAAAAATGTCAAGAATTTTGTTGCCGCATTAGTAAACGCGAATCGTTTGTTGCTGTCACGCGCGATTTGTTTCTTTGCTTGTAACAATTTCATCGGCCCTATCAATTGAACATCGTGAACAAATGCTTGTGATGACAATTCGACAAGAAATCTGTACAGCGCTATCGCCCCCGCTTCGCACTAAATATCTATCAAAATTTATTAAATACGAACGCACGCTTCCAACGTTCCTTTTCACAGAAATCTTTAGCAAAAGGTGAATAATTTCATTCGTGGCATAATTATCTTACAAGTTTAAATAAAACAAGCCTTTTCATATTTCCAGTTAACAATAATGTGTCGGCGATATTTTTCTTTTCGATCTCATTGCGGTGTTTCACAATTTCATTTTTTTCCCTTTACTTTTACGTCACATAGAAATATTTAAAAATGGTTCCACTTACGTTTGCGACGGAATACTTCCTCAACAAGTTCACTACGTATTCTGCTTTGTTATACCACAGTTTGCAAAAAATTAACATACAATAGAAATATGACCTTTCATGAAAGATAACTAACATTTATAATAAAGTTATTATTCAATTTATGAATATGAAATAATATATGAAAAGACGAATTAACGCAATATATTAACACAAATGAGTTTTTAAAATATAAGTTTGGTTACGTTCTGGCTTTTTAGAGGCGTTGCTCTTTAGCTTCTGTTTGGGGTGCTACCTTCGAAGATGGTCTTTCTACCAATCACAGTAGATCATTAAAAATTGGAATATCATTTTCGGAATTTAGACATTCCGTGTAATCTTTTAATTCGGTTGGCAATTTTCAATCTAAACTCATTAAATTGTGTTTTTTTGTCAGTTTTTATTTCGTACAGGACTTAATTGTCGCAAATGGTGATGGCCAATGTGCAAAAAATTTTGTATCTTTTTAGCGTTTCTCCTATAAAATGTGTGTATCAATTTTATCGATATATTTTATCACGTATTCATATAATGGCATATTTATGTACATAATCGTTCTGTTGCATATTACTTGGTTTTGCACACATTTATGTTAATTGAAATGCATATTCATTTATGATAATTATATCTTTCTTATCCGTTTCATAAAATAGATAATTTTAAATTATAATAGACTGGAATTGGTATAAAAAAGTTATGTATGGTTCCTAGTCGCGTAGCTGATTGCGGTATTGATATTATTGACACTTTTCTACCAATTTTCTGTTTAGAAAATCTAATCTTCTACCAAGTCTAAAGGACTCCAGTCTTTTCTGATACTCGAAAATTTTGTTATGCATTTAATACTTAACAAAAATATAATATATTATATATATATAAGAAAAAAAAAGGAAAAAGAAAGGTGAACTCAGAAGTTTTTTTTTTATTTATGCTATAGAATTCTCTACAGGATTATTAGCAGCTTGCACATTGTGCATACTAGCAACAGTACAGAAACATTTTTGCCGACTTTTGTACAAGGATTACACTGATATACAACTAAAATACATGTTTGCTATTTACATAACTAGAATTTACAATTAAAACCAAGAGAACTATTAAGTCACTGAGAAATACAGCTATGCACTCGACATGGATACGTTACAGATGCCAACCATGACTTTTGAGAAATTTTTGAATAATCAACAGAGGTGTAATATATGGTTTGCTTGAAAAAAAGTCCATTGTATGGGGTGTGAAATAACCCATTCCACATAATTTATTTATTAAGACATTCCTATTGTTGAGAATGGGGCACTGCCAAATTATATGGGATCTTGAACTACACTACTACACTGACATTTTGTGTCAAGAGCTAAGTTAATTTTGAAGAGGGAAGCGGCTAATTGTGATCTGCTCGGAGTCTGTTCTTCCAACAAATAAAGTCTCTAGGGAGTTTTTTTACGTGAAAAACATAGTTTAGCAGAAGGATGGTAATAGCTTTTGAAAAATTTTGTATCCTTAGATTCGGAAATAATCTGTCGTTTCAGTCTTAGCTTGCTTTTTAGAGCTATGGGAAAAATCAGAGAATGGGACCATTATATCTGGCGAGACATTAGTACATGCTTCTTTAGCTAAGCAGTCCACTTTTTTTGTCAAAAGTTATTCCAATATGAGAGAGGATCCAGTAAAAATATAGATTCTTATTGGCTGAAGAGTAGAGGTTTATAAGCCCACGCGTGTCAACACAGGACTCGAACTCAGAAGTTAATGATTTTCAGAATAAGTATTATAATACAATAAGTGAAATATACATATATTATAAAATAATATAGTACAACATGCAGATAAGGAAATTTAATTTAATATAATACAACGTAACAAAATAAACTAAAATAATATAATATGACGCAAGAGATAAAATAATTATGGATTTTTATGTGTGGTGCATTTAAGTTGATTACCTAAATATCTCCTCGAATTGTGTTGATGCAGAAAATATTTTTTGTCTTATTTTCTCAGTATCAGTGGAATTTCAAAACATTTTATATAACACGTATAGTTCCCTCTCTGGAAAATTTCCTAATACCTAATTATAATTACGTAATACATAAAGGTATATGCAATAAGTAGGAAATAAATTTACACAACACGTGAAATTTCTTTTATGTAAACTTTCCCGATACAAACATAGGAGCAGATCTTTAAACACCATTGCAGTCAAGTGTTGCAAAGGAACATTACAATTATTTAGGCCGACTCCAATTTATTAATCTTAATTTAGAATTTTTCAATTTTTCTTTTCTTTATTTTAAAATATCGAACGTAGTCTTTTTTTTTTTAAGAAGCGACCGCATTATGCTTCTAATTTCGTAAGTCTTAAATATACTCCTCCTTTTGGACCAAGCAGGAACCCAGTCGGTTCAAATTCATGAGGGATCATGGTTTTTTCGCAAGCTTCCACTTTATACTTTCGAAGGATCGTGACCAGACCCACTTTGGTTTCACAATCGGCAAAACGTCCAGCTGCAAACGCGAATTATACGAATTATATACGAGTGATATTGATAAAAATACTTGCGTTATAATACTGTTCGACAAATCTGGATTTTTTCCTATTTTTATGACAGTGAACAGTCATTTTCGATAGATTTTTGCGTATGTTGACTGCAATATTTTGATGTAAAGTTCTGAAGTATCGATGCATAAAAATTAATCGTCAGGTGGTTATTAATTTGGCAGATAATTTTATTTTAATTTTTATTAAAATTTATTGTACGACGAGAAAAAACATTCTTAAACGATACTCTATTGCCGCAAGTTTTCTAAAATGAAAGTTAAACTAGTTCCTAGACTAATAACTATTCGACGTACATAATAATTTATTGATGGAGAACGTTGATCTGCACTTATCAATACATAAAAAATTATATACGATTTCGTTTAAAAAAGTAGAGATGATTTTAAGATTCTGAAAGACCTCCACCTAGGCAAACTTGCTAATCATTATAAAAAATTTCGAAAAAACAGGACTAGATTTATTCCAAACATTTCTTCGAATAATGAACAATTGCTTCGATCAACTATAAAACGTGACACCTGTGTCTAAGAGCAAGCAAAAATTACACGAAACTGATGAAAAATTGAAAATTTGCTTCTGCTCGAAAGTTATACCTTCCAAAAAACTAGAAATGACTAGTTCAAGTGGTTTGTGCATTCGTAATCAAAATCAAAAATCTATCAAAAATAGCTATCAACTGTAAGAACGATTTATTTCTTTTGGTATAACTGAACGTGTAATACCGATGCAATTTCTTGGTCCTCCACCAAATGGCAAATAAGTCATCGGATGTCGAGCTTCGATGGCTTCCTTACTGAATCTCTCGGGATTGAATTCGTCGGGATTTGGATAAATGTCGGGATCACGATGTATCGCCAATATAGGAATCCATACCATTAAACGCCTCGGTATAGTGAGCTTTGTGTCTCTGAAAGTATATGGACGAACAGCTCTTCGTGGCAGCGCACCGATTGTTGGATATTTCCTTAACGTCTCTGCAGAAATACATTAAATGTTATATAAATTTCGTGAAATTTCATTTTAATTAAATAAGAAGGAAATAAATTATCGATTTAGCAAACTGCAGCTTGAGCCAACATTTTCACAATTGTTTCTTAGCTACAACTTATGAGAAACAGTCGTTTTCTATTTCGTATGTAAAACTGCGTACATGCATTTTACAAGAAAGTAAAAAATATTAAAGCGAAGGGGCATCTTCGTTTTTTAGAAAAATGTGGCAATTTTTATAAATGTCTCCAAAATCGCATACTTTTCATGATATTTCTGGAAAAATAAAATATTAAAGTACTAAGTATAAGAGACTGAATAAGATACTAAGCAAAAAATTGTTAAATAAGATGTTAAAATATATATTATACCAAGATATATTATGTATCTTAAAAGTATAGTATAAAATATATTTTATAGTAAAAGTATTAAAAGTATTAAATAAGATACTGAGCAATGGAAAATTAAATAAGATACCAAGCAATAAATTACTAAATAAGATGTTAAGAGATACTAAATAAGTCGAGATAGTACTAAGTAAAGTAAGACAAAAAGTACTAAAAATATGAAATAATTGATACTGAGTAATAAATAAGGTACTGAGCGATAAAATACTTTACTATGATACTAAAGTACTAACATACCAGCATATTTTTTTCTTCTGAGCGTTTATTTTTCTTCTCAGTCACGTACCTTTGTACACTTTGTCCAAGTACTTCATGTCTTTTATATTTTCGTATTTAAACTCCCCACTGTACTTCGCGAAGTGCTCGTTGATCTCTTGACGCAACTTGTCTTGAATATCGGGATTCAGAGCAAGTTCGTAGAGGGCGTGGGTCATTGTCGTCGATGAGCTCTCGAAACCGGCAACGAAGAAACCGAAAGCTTGTGCCGCCAACAAATTGTCTGTTAATTCTAAAAGAAACGAAGAAAATTTACGATTTATTTGTGTTAATTGTACAAGTATATCAATTACATTACACTGTTTATCGTATGAATAATGTACGTAGTCGTAGGTTTTTCTAAGAAATGGTTATTCATCAGCAGTTGATCATTTCTCTTCGATAATCTTTTGATCCACTGCTATTTTTATACATACTGCTATTTTTATATATGCAGTTCCTCATTTGATTTTTAAATACAAATCAGTTCTCATTTGTCAACGCAAATTAAAAATACAAAATTGACTTCAAAATACAGAAAGTATAAAAAATACTTCTCTATTAGCTTCGATACTTTCAAATACTTGCATTTGATCGAGAAAGAATAATTCACTCGTTAGTTAAATTTGTAGTTCTCGAAAATGTGGCTTCTCTAAATGAAAAATTGCTATTCTTTCGTCTGGTTTTATTACGTATATTTCACTCGGGAATGTCGCGACAGTGGAAATGTCAGAATGTTGTGTCATAGTGAAACTTCGACGTTACTGCAAACTTACTAATGTCGCCCATTTTCTCTGGATGTTCCTTCAGCTCCATTAGCATTTGGATGAAGTCCGGCCTGTGTATGTTATGATCTTTCCTATACTTCATAGCGTCAACGACAATCTTGGTAAAGAACGCAGTGAATCGTTTCTCGGGCATCATGTAACCCAACAGCTCGTACAGTTTTCGTGCATACAGCCGCATTCTTAACCGCACCGCATTTTCGAATTCCTTCATGTCGAAGACCAGTTTACCGATTCGACGGAACTCGCTGCTCTCGTCGGACATCGAGTTCGCGTCGATCCCGAACACACATGAAGCGATCACGTCGGTCGTGAATTTGGCCGATACCTCGGAGAATTCGATCGGCTCGTCCCTCGCGACCAGTTGTTCTACGTATTTCTCGAGTTGATCCGCACACTCGAGGATCAGGCCGAACATGCTTTTGATCTTGACCACTGTGAACAAGGGATGAAGGTTCGTCCTCAGCGGGCGCCATCTTTCTACATCCAGATTGATAATGTGCGCCGACAGCGGCTCAGTCTGTAATTAATTTATCAATATCAGTTCAGAATCTTGGAAGGACAAGGACGTTTGACTGTCTCTTTCTTGATTCTTTTGCATGGCGTGTCTGTTAAGATCATTAGGACATGTCTGTAAAAGTGTGTTTGTGTATTAATTTATGACGTAGCACATGATACTAGAATCTACAAAGGAGAAAACACTTGAGCAGAATAGGACAAGCTGTTACGATAAAAAACTTGCAGTTGGTTACTAGTAAAGAGTTAGTGATCCGTATGACTAGACAGAATCAGTCCGTTTTTAGTATTAATCAGACAGAATCAGCTGTCGGTTCAAAACCTAGAAACAATCTTCTTAAACAGATGAATCGAGAATAACCAGTCAAATTTAGCCTTTCAAAGTTTGCAAATGATCGTCGTCTATGGTAGTTTCTTCGAAAGATCACTTGTCTTTTTCCGAATTAATTACTTGCTTGGATTCAATCTGTTTGAACATTTTAACCAATTAGATTTTTGTTAAACTTTCGTTTTCAATAGTCGACGATTAATAACATAGAATTAATAAAATTGTTAATTAGCCTGGTACTGAAGTGAGATAAACATTAGTTCTCGTTATCGTGTTTTTGTACAATTAAAATAATTTTCCTTAACGTAACTGCATGACAATTTATTATTTATTTATTCTCGCGATTCAGAAACAGGTTATGCTCGGTTGCATTTGTTGAATATCATTTGCATTTTCGACATAAGAAATTTTCTAGCAGATGTACATAATTAAGTGGTAGAATAAGTAATAAATGCTATTCCACGTTATTGTAACAGTGCATTAAAAATGTTGCGAGTTTATAACTATGGGTAAAATGTATAGAGAAAAAACAAGAGTTGTATTACATCGATACAATTTGGAAATTGACTGGACGAAAGAGAAAAATTAATAAATGGATGAAATTAATTTACGATTCAGAAATGCAACGTGACTTACTCTTTCGTAAACGATAAATCCTCGTTCGGAGAACGTCGAGAAATCCCTGACCAAAATGTCCCTGATTAGTTCCGGATCTTTTATAACAAGAATCGCCGATCTTCTCATGTACAGGCCGATCATTGACTCGCTTTTGAATTCCTGATGCAACTTGTGCAGATATTCCGGCGTCGAAAGTCGCGAGAATAAGATATCCATGCTGTTCCCAAAGAAGAACACCGGTCTCGGTCCTGGAATTCCCCGATTCTTCCAAAAATTGTACGCTGATGTCGAATAGTAACAGAAAGCCAGAAGTAACGCTATGACGGCGCACAGGATTTCAAGGTAGGCCATCGTGGCTCTTTGTATTAAGTGCTGCGATGGTTAAACAACTTGCTGAAAAAATGCAAAGTTCTTCTCATAATAATTTTAAACGTTTTATATAGTATTAAAATATAATAGAATATAATATCTTTGAAAAATAGTAAAATATAATAAATATATATAAAGATATATAAATATAATATTCTCTTATATTCAAATTCTTTGATGATCTCCTAGATGAAAGTCCACTGTACGTATTACGAGTGAAATTTTGTAGAATAATTATTGAACATTGGTAATCATGTTTGGAAAATTTCCTTTACGTTATTATTGTACCTACTCAGAAAATATTTATATTGATTACATATTAACATTCTTTCCCCTTTCCTTATCTTTAATGAATATTCAACACTTTACATTTCCAAATCAAGTATTCATCACATGATCAATGCTTGACAGATTGCTTTAAAATACGTGCATAACCATAAACCTTTCTCTGACCTTCCACGGATTGTTAATTCTAACGTTTTTATGTTTATTTATATGGTTCTAACCTATTCGTGTCATTTTTACTCGAAAGAATGTGAGCACGAAGAATAAATGTTCGAAAGAAAACTAGACGTAAGTAGATGTGTTTCACGTAAGAGTTTATGTATCGCTAGCGTACAGGATGTTTCCAAAGTCAAAAAGTCGGAAAAGAAAGAATAAAATATTCCCATGCAACGCTTGTTGAAAAAAATCAAGTTCAACCCGTACCCATAATGCCTCCGTAATTTTACAGCGAGGAATAATAAATTTTGTTTTTTCCAACGTTGTTTTTCGTACGTTTCTTTTGAAGATTTTCGCGTATAACTGTGCGTAAAGTGTACTCACCCTCTGTATAACGGAGCGGATCAGCTCACGCGTGTTCTATTCCGGAAGTGTCTCCACCAGCACTTTGTAACTGGCGAGAGCTGATTTTATCGGAGGCTGTATCAGAAAAAATTGCTGTAATTTGATCCCCACGAAACGATTGACGTATGTGCATTTAAGTCATTATAACTAATCCCGCCAAGATCGGTGACGTTTTTTTATTAAAGGAGAAAGCAGTTATTAGAAATCATGGAGAGTGTAAGGAGAGTATTTTCTGCCTTTAAGTTTGTTTATTTGTAGCAGTCTAAAGATAAATATATAATTGTCGAAAGATTGCTCTCTTTCTCAGCCATTTTTAATCATTTGATTGTATCGTATGAACAAGGGAAAATATAATGAAAAGTGGAGGATGGACCTCGCGAGGACCTCGATAACACAGAATGGACTGTCATCATTGACAGTTAAGCTATTATTTCTTCATAAATTGTACTAAAATGTTTGTACTTTGTTGTAACATACACAGCGAGAGATGACGGAAAGAGAGTTGTCCGATCTCTTCCATATTTCTTTGCATTTTAACCACTTCAGTGCCAGGCGGTGCGATAGCGCTTCCCTGAGATGTAATTCCAGAAAAATGTCAAGAATTTTGTTACCGCATTAGTAAACGCGAATCGTTTCTTGCTGTCACGCGCGATTTGTTTCTTTACTTGTAACAATTTCATCGGCCCTATCAATTGAACATCGTGAACAAACGCTTGTGATGACAATTCGACAAGAAATCTGTACAGCGCTATCGCCCCCGCTTCGCACTAAATAGCTATCAAAATTTATTAAATACGAACACACGCTTCCAACGTTCCTTTTCACAGAAATCTTTAGCAAAAGGTGAATAATTTTATTCGTGGCATAATTATCTTACAAGTTTAAATAAAACAAGCCTTTTCATATTTCCAGTTAACAATAATGTGTCGGCGATATTTTTCTTTTCGATTTCATTGCGGTGTTTCACAATTTCATTCTTTTTCCCCTTTACTTTTACGTCACATAGAAATATTTAAAAATGGTTCCACTTACATTTGCGACGGAATACTTCCTCAACAATTTCACTACGTATTCTGCTTTGTAATACCATAGTTTGCAAAAAATTAACATGCAATAGGAATGTACCGTTTCCTGAAAGATAATTAACATTCATGATATATGAAATAATATATCAAGAATTGAATTAACGCAATACGTTAACACAAATAAAATGGTTTTTAAAATGTAAATTTGATTATGTTCTGGATTTTCTAAGGAGGTTGCTCTTTAGCTTCTGTTTGGGGTGCTACATTCGAAGATGGTCTTTCTATCAGTCACTGTCGATCATTAAAAATTGGAGTTTCATTTTCAGAATTTAGGAATTCGTGTAATCTTCTAATTCGGTTGGCAATTTTCAGTCGAAACTTATTAAATTGTGATTTGTCATCAGTTTGTATGTCGTACAGGAGTCAGCTGTTGCAGATGGTAACGGCCAAAGTGCAAATAAGTTTGTATATTTTTAGCGTTTCTCGTATAAAATGTGTGTATCAATTTTATCGATGTATTTTATCACGTGCCATATAATGGCATACTTATGTATATAATCTGTTGCATATGATTTGTTTTGCACTCATTTGTGTTAATTGGAAAGCATATTCATTTATGTAAAATGTATCTTTTTTATCTGTTTCACGATTTTAAATTATAATAGACTGGAATGAGTAAAAAGTATAAAAATGTATGGTTCCTAATCTCGTGACTGATTGCGGTATCGATATTATCAATACTTTCCTACCAATGTCGAAAATTTCGTTACGCATTTAATACTCATCGAAAATATAATATATTGTATATATAAGAAGAAAAAAGGGAAAAGAATATTACAGCATAATATTCTATATTGTAGTATAATATACTATATTATAATATAATATAATACAATATGGGCATAATAAAAGAAAATTTAATTTAATATAATATAATGTGACAAAATAAACTAAAATTTAATATAACATAATTAGATAAAATATTTACTGGACCAAATGGTCAATTCATGTCACACGACTAGGCAAAACGATTAGAAAAGATATTTAGGTGGGCTCATTTAAATAGACCATCCTGTGTATTAGCATGCGCTCGTTACACTCCATAATACGTTAGATTGGTGCATATTCAACGACAAATACCTGTTCCTGGCGACAATGATGTCGTAATTCTTAAACAATAATTTTATATATATTTAATATATTTATTAAATTTACTCTTTAGAGTATTAGTTGAACATTGGTTCGATGATAAAAAAAATATTAAACGTTCCCTTGAAATTTCATTCGTGGTGTCATTAAAAAAGTGGAATTACAAATGTAGCGATATGTAAACGACACATGCGTCGCAATATGTTTTTATCCTTGCCAAGTTTCAATAAACTGACATTTATCTATCAGTGCTATTTAACAGTTATCAACTATAAATTGCTGCATTAATATTTATTAGTCAGGTGCTTATTCAAATGCACAATTATGTTAATATACATGGCGGAAAGATTCGCATGCTCGGTAAAAAGTTCTTGGTTTTAAAAATCGTAACTATCGTGAGTAAAAGAAAATCTTGGAACAACTTACCTGGTCCCATCTTAAACCGCGAAACTTCTATTTTGGCAGTCTTAAGTTTGTTTCTTTTGCAGATATTTCTACGTCATGTAATAGGTGCGAGAGCAAGGATAGTTTTTTTATCTCAAAAGTTGAAAAATTTCTAAAAACATCTCTAACAGTGCTAAAACAATTTTTTCGTTACTAGGTATACCATGATTTTGAAAGTTCTCCTTTAAAATATCTTGTGTGACTTTTTTTGCGACATTATTTTAGTTTGTCATGAGGCTATGTAGAACTATACCAGAAATATTTGACTAAATAATTTCGAATGGAATTGAACATTTAATATGAGTTATTCTCACTATTATTAAAAAAAAAAGAAAGAATTAGAAAAGAAATGGTAATAAATATATTAATATTATTAAAATATTACTAAAATGGTGAGATAATATTATTATTAATAACGTGAAGGAATCGTAGAACCACTCATAACACTAACATGAATTTACTGATATCGATATTATTTTATTGTATGCAGAATGTACATGATATACAGAAAGAAAAGTATCTTTCACTCAGACAAATTCCAGATTGGAGATTACGCTTCTAATCTCGTTCATTTCAGTATATTTCTCCTTTTGCAGCAAGCAAAAGTGTATCCACGTCGAATTCATAGGGGACCATAGTTTTGTCGCGGACGTCCACCTTATAGTTGCGAAGAGTCGTGATTAAATCCACTTTGACGGTATACAGAAATATAAAAAAAAAAAAAAAAAATTCCACTCACAGAGATTGCAGCTTAGTGCCTGAGATTATACAAAATGGTCTCTGAACAAGTTCATTACTGTATTTCTCAGATTATTAATATTCTATCGTGTAAAATATCATAGAATAGTAATGACTGACATTCCTTAAAAGTCAATGAATTTGTAATAAGGCTATTGTTGTTTTTATGAATATGAAGAAATGAATTGACACAAGGAAGATTAACAGGAATAAGTTTGTAGAGAATTTGTTTTTAGGTTTCGTTTACATACGTTCTAGATTTTCAAAGGCTGTTTAGCTTCTAGTTTGAACAGCTACATTCGAAAATAGCCTTTCTGCCAATCTCAGGAGATTATTAGAAGCGTTTGCATTTCGGAAATTTGATTTTCAGATTCGTGAAATCTTTCCAATAAGTTGACCGATAACATTCAGTCGAAACTCATTGAATTGTACTTGTACTTGTACTTGTACTTGTCGTTCATATTTCATACAAGTTGTGTTACAAACAAACGAAAATGGAAAAATTTGTGTTTTTCCTACGAAACTTACGTAACAATTTTATCACGTATTCATGTAAAAGAATATTTTAATATGTAATCAGTTTTTTGCTTATTGCTTCTTTTGCATATGTTAATTAATAAACACATCCACTTACGTAAATGGCGAATATTTCATTTTTATCTGTTTCATAACGTGGACGACTGGGTAGATTATCATAGATTGGAATATGAAAAATTTGCTTGTCTAGTTGTAAATTTTAAAACGTAAAATATGAGGGTATGGTTTTTGTACGTGCGAGTTACGAGTAGTGGTAGAGTGAAGACTTATAGAGAGTACTAAGAGTCATGAGAGTGCATAGATCTAGAGAATACTCTAGCGAGTTGTGATAGATTAATGAGAGTTTAGCGAGAGTCTTAATATTTTTTGTCATCGTCTTTATTGGACTTTAATTCCTAAATTAATAAATTTTATTTATATTCATTTTAAATCACATAAGTTAAAATTGTTATTTTTACCTACAGTAGTATAATATTGATATAATAAAACAGAATATAATATAACGTAACATAATGTAATATGTTAAATTGTTGCATATCAAATGATAAATGTGTGTTTCTAGTGATATTGATTTTATTGATAGTTCTCAGACAATAATTTCATAATTTTATAATTTATAGTACTTATAATTTTATAAGTTTACTTATAATTTTATAGTTTATAGTACTATAGTTTACTTATAATTTTATAGTTTATTGTACTATAGTTTACTCATAATTTTATAGTTTATAGTACTATAGTTTACTCATAATTTTATAGTTTATAGTACTATAGTTTATAGTACTATAGTTTCCTTATAATTTTATAGTTTATAATACTATAGTTTACTTATAATTTTATAGTTTATTGTACTATAGTTTATAGTCCAGCTTCAGTTGACACAGTTTTAATCAATCATTTTTTAACATCATTCAGTGTACCTTTTTAACGACTATTTGGTTTCAATGTACAATCATGTTTGCAATGATTTTATGCCCTAGAAATTTTCAAGTGCACTCCTCCCTTGACCGTTAAGAAAGGGACACCCTTATCTGTTTCAAATGGAATCGTGGTTTTCTCGCAGACATCGACTTTGTAGTTGCCGAGGATGGTTGCAAGTCCGACCTTGCTTTGATAATGTGCAAAACGGGCACCTGAAAATGAAAGAGAAAACAATCGTACAAAAACTAGAAATTTCCATATCCAAGAGGAGATTCTTCTCAAACATCATGAATCACTCTAGCTAACCGAGCTAATCAAGCTCGGTGAAAAGCAAGCAGTGATTCATGATAATGTTAGAAATATTCTCATTTCTTCAAATTGAGCAAATACGATCCTCGTACAATTTTTTGTATGTCATAATAAGTAACACAAATTAATTTTCCAATAACTTTACGAATATCCAATTAAATCCAATTGAAAGTAGCAACGAATCTTTTTCGTGATCCAGTAATTAAGATAAATAGAATTTAATTGTGTGAAAAATAGAATAAAACAGAAATGATGATTTTTGTGAAGTGTGAACAGATTGATGGAAGATGCGGGAAAATCTTTAATGTAGAAAGTGACGTTACCGACGCAGTTTCTCGGCCCGTCGCCGAAAGCCAGATAGCTCATAGGGTGTCTAGCTGCGACAGCATCCTCCTCGAATCTTTCCGGATCGAATTTCTCTGGTTCCGGATAGATATCCGGATCGGTATGAATTCCGTACACGGGTATTGACAATTTCGTCCCTACCGGTATGCTGAACTTCGTTCCTGCGAACGTGTAATTTTCCAGCGCTTGTCTATTAAGCATGGGCAGCACCGGATACTTTCTTAGCGATTCTGCAGGAAGAGAGTACGAAAAATATATCATGTCGTTAACATTGTTCTAAATTTTTAATTTTTTAAATATATTACACTTTTATTTTACTTTATCATAATAATTTATTTTACTTTATTTTTACTTTATTATAATATTTACTAAATTACTATACTATTTACTAAATTACTTTATTATAATATTTATTAAATTATTTTACTTTTATATTTTACTTTTATTTATTATATTTACTAAATTACTTTATTATAATATTTATTAAATTATTTTACTTTTATTTTACTTTATTATAATAATTTATTATACTTTAAATATATTATACTTTTATTTTTAATTTTCAATTTTAAACTCTTTAATTTAATTCTAAATTTTTAATTTTTTAGTTTTATTGTATTTAACTTTTTAGTTTCATTATATTTTGTTAAGTTTCTTTCCACTGTATTTCTATTAACCCTCATCCGTACCTCGTTTCTCGAATTTCAATTTGTCCCTTGCTGCCAAATTGATCATAAAATAATATCCAGTACCCAGAATAAATATCTAGTAAAATAATTAATATCTACAATGAAAAAATAAATAGTTAAATTTGCAAGTTCTTTCATTGACAATAAAATTTTTATATTAGATAGATATATTATAGAATATCTTACGAGTCACGTAAAAATGGTAAATAATTTCATGTCGTGATCTGATTTTCTCCAGTTTCGTCTGATTATTTGCTTTGAACGTTTTTATGTTACTGCCTTTTAAAACTATGACTCTATTGAATACGTAATTGCTTTGTAATGTAACAATAATCAGAAGACAATATAGTGACTTGAAAACGAATGTTATTTGCAATTTTGACGGTATGCTTTGTTATTAAAAGTGTCGAAAATATATGTCATGTGTCATAATATATGTCAAAAATACCTTGCAATATTTAAATATGACATTTTATGAGAAAAATATGTACTGATACACGAGATAAATGAGGATTAATATTTGAATAGTCGGTGTTAGTTCTACTTCGCACCTTTGAACACCTTGTCCAAGTACTTCATTCCTTTGATATCCGCGTATGTCAGAGCTCCGTTATTTTTGCTGTAAACGTTTCTAATTTCCTCTCGTAATTTGTCTTGTACTTCCTGGTTCTGTGCTAACTCGTAGAGCGCGTGTGCCATCGTCGAGGAACTGGTCTCGAATCCCCCAATGAAGAAAACCGTGGCTTGCGCGGTAAGCAGCAAATCTGTCAGTTCTATGTACAATGACAAAAGATATAACTTCATTAGAAATATAATCGCGTCCTTGGTAACATACGTCAAGGTCAAGAGGAGCTGCCTACTATGATCATTAACGCCGTGTTGACCAACATGCGAAATTAGGAATATTCAAATTTTAGAAAACGCGTGTTCCGTTTGAAATCACAAAATATTTTTGTCGGTACTGTTCTGAGATATTTGTGGATATGATACAAATATAAAAATATTTAGTATAAAATTATAATGATAATTAAAAATTTATATATATATATATATATAAATATATAAATATATAACTATAATATATATAAGTATAAATATAAATATAAATATAAATAATAAATATAATATATATATATATAAATATATAAATATTATAAATATTATAATAAAATTAAAATATTATAATATTATAAATATATTAAAAAATTAAAAATATTATAACTTTTTAATTTTAATAAAATTAAAAAATTATAATATTATAAATATATAAATATATTATACAACGTGTTAAAAAGAAACTTGCGAAGTATGTTCTTCTATGTCTTGTATGTTTCGCAAGTATACCAGTGAGAAAAAAATTAAGGATCGATTTTTCCCTGAGAACGAGTTGAAAGAAAAATTCGACTTCCACCTTCTTCTCGATCGCACTAAAAATAGGGACGCGCTCACCTATATTGTCAAACTTATTCTGCTGCTTCTTCAGTTGCATCAGCAGGTGGACAAAGTCTGGTCTGACCACGTTATTCTCCTCTCTGTACCTCATCGTGCTGGTGAACAGATTTATGTAAAAATCGTCGATCTCCTTTATTTGGAGATAAGGGCCGATCAACTTGTACAACGATGGTGTAAATTCCCGGCAGACGTCGCGGATCGCCTGTTTCAACGAAGGTTGAAACATTCGTGTGGCCATTTTACGAAATTCGCAGTTCTCGTTCCCGAGGGAATTGATCTCGAGCCCGAAGGCGCAGGTGCCGATCGCGTCTGTCGTGTATTTACCGGCCATGTCGCGACAGTTCACTGGCTCGCCCCTCTCCACCAGTTTATCCAGGTACGTTTTCAAATTTTTCGCGCAGTCGGCTATCAGCGGAAACATGTCTTTCAGCTTGCCGGATGTGAATACCGGCGACAGTTTCGCCCTCAGCGGCCGCCATTTCTCGGCTTCCAGCATGAAGAGATTTTGGCTCAGTGGTTCTATCTAGTAGTTAAATCTCTGATTTAATAAACTGCTTAATTTAATTACGTTACTTTATTGTCTCGACGAGTAAATAATAAATTATTGTAATTACTACCGGTAACCAAAAAAAAAAAAAAAAAATTATTAAAGAATAAATAGAAAATAAGAAATGTTATGTATAATAATATATTAATATTGCTATAACTACGTTAATATAATTATCATGTAATATCATGTGTTGTGCGATTATAACACGTTAGTATTATATTAATTACATTAATAATATATAATGCAACTTAATACGTTTATTTAATTATAATTCATTATGTTATTATTAATTAAATAGTTTAATTATAATCAATTATAATTATACTTGGCAATTATATCCGATTAAATATTAATTATGTTTTGTATTAATATTATATTTCAATTAATGATAGTAAAATTTCTAAATTGGTAGTTACCTTTTCATATACAGTGAGTCCACGGTCGGCGAATAAAGCGAAATCCTTGATCAGAACACTTTTGATCATGTCCAGATCATTGACGAAAAGAAGTGGCGATGTTCCTGCGTATACGCCGAAGAGTGGCTCGTTCTTGTAATGATTGTACCATTTCTTTATATAATCGGCCACCGATATTTTTTTGACGACGATGTCCAAGAAGTTGCCGAAGAACAACGTCGGTTTCGGTCCGGGTATGTCGAGTCTTTTCCAGAAGCTGTAAGTCGACGTGTAGTAATAGTAGACAGCGAGGAATAGGGTGGCGATGCTGCAGAGGAGTTGAAAATAGTCCATGTTGCGCCAAACTTCTTAAGAACTTCAATTGTTAGAACTAAAATTACAAAAGTTTTCGACAATGTTCCAGATTCTTGACTCAAACCCATCACTAACTGGATCGGGCAAATTTTGTTTGAAACTTGAGAATAAGAAATAACAATTTAAAATGACGAATGGAGAACTGCTTTACCTTGGATCTTCGAATCAAATAAATCAGTTTTTATTGATCCGTCGAAATTAAATAACAAATAATCGCAATAATAAAAGATGGCTGTTAGAATCAGGAATTATTTCACTCGATAGCCAAATAATGGAACAATTTCGAGAAAAATTGCTTGCTCGAATTAACATTTAGTTAGTGAATTAACTATTAGTTAATCAGTAAACTGATGTAGAATGTATTTGTATCGGTATGTTATTTAAATGATCAGTTTTCAAATATTTTATTCAAACTTTATAAAGCCCGTGCATTAGACATCTCAAGTAGTACCATAGTTCGTCGCAGTAGCAAACAGATATTTTAAAGTAGATGATGACCATGACTCACAGATAATAAACGGGAATTAGTAATCGTGATGGATGATCGCGAGATGTTCTTACTGATAAAGCTTGTTTTCCTTATTTGTCCAGAGAACTTTCAATGAGATAAAAGCAATAAAATTTATTACCTTTAAAGGTTCAACCTTTAGAGTTTTTAACAAATATGTTTCCTAGCTGAGTTAATTTATCTTATATCATGTGTACAATGAAAACAAAAGGAACGATAATCTTGACAAACAAAACTCTCAATACGATGATAAGATGTAGGTAATTAATTATCGCGATGAACATCATCAGATATTTATCATATTTCATTAATGAAACAATCGAATTTCGATATATACAATCGAAGAAACTTTGGTAATGATTTCTAATCAATTTAATGTCACCAATAGTTAATGTTTAACGTATAATAAAAATAATATTTAATGTATAATTGAATTATTAATAATTCTAACAAGCTAATAATTTAACTACAACTGAATTAATTATATTGTAATAATCAAGTAATCAAATTTTAATCCTAATATTCATTATCTAATTAATTAATAATATTCGTTGATATTAATTGCCTAATTGCTTAATAATAATTACCTGATTGTCGCGTAAAGTGTAAAATATAGTAAATAATGCTCGCTTGAAGATTTGCAATCAGTATCATTTACTGATAGTTGCCAACAGATAACGTTGATTGCTTTGAAGCAAAATAAATGTTTCGTTTCGTGGCTGTCAAAATATTCAGATCGAAGTTGAACGATGCTGAGAGAGATCGTATTAAAGCACCGACTATCTAGCTATTTTTAGTCAATGATTATAATCTGTAGTCACTGGTCGTTTTGGAAATGGAGGTCAACTTGTAACATGAAGATCAACTTTGCCTATTTTTTAAATGAAATATCATTTTTATTTCCCAGTCAATGCAGTTCTTTATCCTCTATAAAATAACGCCGACAATGATTAGTTTAGGAAATATTTTAACTCTAATCCCTCGTCCTTCACGCATAGATTTCATAAAAACTATTAACCTAAACTATTATGGTAACATAAATAAATGAATAATAATCACATAACAAATCACTCAATTTGAACAGTTTTCGCTACGAGTAACGACGCAATTAAAATGCCAAAATCAGATGAAATACGTATCTGTGCACGTGTTATCGGAAATTTTTAACTTCGTTGACAGCTAAATACGTTATAATACGTATTAACACTTATTTCTTTCCGAAACGTAGCTTGCATCCCACAGTCAATCTTGCAACTAACTGATCTACTTCCTTCTGCACTTTGATTGCCAGTGTCGTCCCTGCTGGCCGTCGTTAGCTTATCAACTGAAAAATGCTAAACTATTTATCCACCGAAGGTACAGTTATTTCTGTAAAATGTTTTGATTTCGGCGAGATCACACACACGAGATCTATGATCGCATGATGTGGCGAAATGTAAGAGGAATGAAATGTCATCTGTTTAATTAAATGAATAATTTGTCAAAAAGTTATCTTCGCTGTAGCACCAGTTCAACAATAGGCATACGGAAATTGTAGATTCATCTAAAGAGAGTAGAAACTGACCTTGCTGATCTGAAATTGTTACCATTGATTAAAAATTCAATGTTATTATTAATTTAAGATCAATATAATCGAAAATACTTTGACAGTACCTTGATAGCATCTTTGGAACGAATTAATGTAAATACAATGAGGTATGGCGTTATTATCCTAAAAAGCGGATAAAATGTTTCTTGATTATCACAAATCGCAAAACTCATTGAAATTTTTGACATGTTACATTATTGTAACTAAACTGCGGATTATTATTGAACATTGAACAACTTTCTTAATTGAAGACACAGAAGCTAATGAGAAATTTGATTCTTTTATTAAATATTACAAGAAAGAAAGAAAGAAATAAAAAATCGCAGATATTGTTACAAGAAATATATATATATATATAAAATATATTTAAATAAACTTTTTTCATAACTCAATCATGGACAAGCATTTGTCCCATTGGAATAAAAAATTACAAAGACAGATATTGACACGTAGATACACGTCTGAAAGCTTGAAATTTTTGAAAATACAGATACATAACATCTAGATACATTTACATCTCTATATATTATATAAAAACATCCGTGCACAACAATAAACTTTTAAAACAATTGCGATTATAATAATTACGATAAAAGGATGCAATTATTGCATTAACTCTGCACTTTGGTTATCTTCAAATTCACGCCGCCTTTCAACGTTAACAAAAAGGCACGTTCGTCCGGTTCGTACGGAATCGTGGTTTTCTCGCAAACGTCGACCTTGTGATTGCGTAGAATCGTCGACAGACCAATCTTGCTTTGAATATGAGCGAAACGAGCACCTGCGAACAATTTTTAAACGTCACATTGATCCCACATGCCTAAATTCAAATACTTATTAGAGATCCTAAATCTAAAAGATCTATGAAGCAGCAGAATCATGTAGTAATTTCATCAATAAATTAATGCTAGAAATATTAATTTTATCAGAGCTGCCATTAGTATAGAAATTAGAAGAAATATTACGTTAAAACGATTTATGAAATAGCAGAATCATCAATACACTTCACAATAGATTACTGTGGCTAGCATGATAAAAAATATAATGCTTGATAAGTTATCAATACAAATATGGTTCCTACTTTGAAACTTTCTTTTATCACTGTGCAGTATTAAAAAATGTAACGATGTCAGACGCTGT